GGGGCGGGGCGAGCCAGATGGGCTGCAGTTTGTGATAAGGGAAAGGTGATGTTTCCTTGAAATTTTCTTATTTCTTAAACCTGTTTTGTTTATTCGTAATCTTGTTTTAATTCTCTCTCTCTCTCTGTCTCTCTCTGTCTCTCTCTGTCTCTCTCTGTCTCTCTCTGTCTCTCTCTGTCTCTCTCTCTCTCTCTCTCTCTCTCTCTCTCTCTCTCTCTCTCTCTCTCTCTCTCTCTCTCTCTCTCTCTCTCTCTCTCTCTCTCTCTGTCTTCAAATGTCACCTGCATCAAGGAGGCGGCTTTGCTTTCCTCAGCACTTGTCTGCCGACTTAGTATCATTCTGGGCTTCAACTCTTTTTGTTTATTTTTTGCATCTAGTTTTATTCCAACACACACACACACACACACACACACACACACACACACACACACACACACACACACACACACACACACACACACACACACTTTAGGAAGTGATGTGGTGGAGGCTGATTCCATACACAGTTTCAAATGTAGATATGACAGAGCCCAATAGGCTCAGGAACCTGTACACCTGTTGATTGACGGTTGAGAGGCGGGACCAAAGAGCCAGAGCTCAACCCCCGCAAACACAACTAGGTGAGTACACACACAAAGACTAGACTGATAATGATTTAAAGTAATAAATTATAAATTCTCAGTCGCAGCATAGACAGAATATCAAACAAGCTAGATATCAACGTGTCCAGATTGACCATGTTCCTAAGAACGATATCTTACGATGACAGGAACTTAATGCTAAAACAGAAAGTTAAGAGGATTACAAAAAGCTGTAAGAAAAAATGCCCTAATAACAGGGAGGCTGCAAACAAGTTATTATTATTAAATTATTCAAGATAACGACGCTGGAAGCAGGATAAGCGAGGCCAACAGGTCTCTACCATCTAAGAAATAAAAATCTTGGAAAATCAGAAAAAAAGGGCTTATTGATGGATGTTACACCAAATCACTAGCCTCAGGCACACATGAACAGGATAACATCAGCAGCATGAGCAATGCTCGTGAATATGAAAATGGCTCCCACCTGATGTACACCCGACACAACACACCAATACTGGAGTTGGTTGTGCTGGCACCGAGTCCATGCCTATATTAACAGAATACAAACGTGATTCATACTTGTAATTTGCCGCAAGGTGTTGAAAAACAGGAGAAACCAAGAAGGGACGTGATTACAACGTATTAGATAAGAAGAAACATTGAGAAGATAAAAAATCAAGACACTGAAATCATTATTTATTATTATTATTGAGAAAATCATTTGGAGCAATGAGGTGACTCGAACCAGCGACCAAGAAACTTCCAGCTGAACACCTTACCACTGAAGCACTATATATACCATATAATTGTACCAGATGTGCAACTTGGAGTACCGTGATCGCTGATTCGAGTCCCCTCATTATTGCAAATGATGTTCTCATAGATATATCACGTTAGTAGGAATTCTTTGTGTCAAGAATTTGCATTACTATATCTGTATCACTATTATGTGTAAACATTATGTATGTAGAAAACGCTTATTTAACTAGCAGTGCCAGTCTAGTGCTTAGACTGGCACTAAGTTATACTTTGCTAGTAACATATAGTTAACTAGCGCTCGGCTATACTTAGCGAGTTAATATAATATTTTCTTTCAAATTTAAAATATCTTACCATTTAATGTAAACATAACTGACGTATGAAAACCATATACTTTCATACAAAGCAAAAATGTCTATCATTATAGTTAAAATCCGAAAGTACCAAAAGACCATTAAGACTAAATATTAATTATTAAAAAGTAAAAATTATTAAAAAGTACCATTAATACTAAATATATTTTGGTATAAATCAATGAATATGTTATATTTTAATCTTATTTTATGACCAAAAAGTAATATTTAGTGACGTTTAAAACACATTCTCTTAATACTTCTGTGAAGCCATGACTATGGCCTCCACGAGGAATAGCGAGAGTGCTCGATAAACCTTTTCGGCGGTACACATAACCTGCTTCAGCGAACAAGTGTCCGGAGACATTGTAACAAAGCCCAAGTCTGATATACATGGAGGAAACATATTCTCACCGAAGCCGTATATGTAAGTGCATTCTTCGGTCTTTTGAGGGAAGGTTAAGCGAGTCAGGGGGTGGGAAAGAGGAAGGAGAGATAGGAGGGAAGGACTAAGAAAAGGAAAGGGAGTGAAGAGAGGGAACCAAGGGGGGAAGAGGGCGCGACATCTTAGGTAAATTGCATTAGCGTAAATGACCAAGAGGCTTGGGTTTAGTGTGTGTCTCTGGCCTTCGTATTGCCTTGAGATGTTGGGCTAAAATTGTCTCCAGATGCGCCCCACATATGCATGCATACACATATATAAACACACACATGTTCGCACATGTATACACATATACACGGACATACACACACCTGGTAGCTAGTAAAGGCAGGTACCTCTAGTGGTAAGATGGGCGTCGGAACAGGAAGGTCTGAAGCAGCTTCCACATCATGTTATATTCTTGAAGACCAACCGTGGTAGTGGTAAGGGAGAAACGAGGCATTGAAATTCTCTCTCTCTCTCTCTCTCTCTCTCTCTCTCTCTCTCTCTCTCACTCTCTCTCTCTCTCCTCCCCCAACTTTCAAGCTATTTCCCTCTTTCCAGTACATAAATTTCATCATATAATTTAACACACATGCCACAACATCTATTCTGAAAATAATATTCGTCTGAAATCTCCTTGAAAAAAAGACGTAATGCAACTTAGGCATTGCAGACTCTTCCTTAATTCTTCACTGCAATCATGATTTCTCTGCCTTTATTGGCACATGTCTGCACACCCGTGTGACAGCAACTGAATGAAAATTCTGAAATACATTTGCAATAATATAAAAAAAGAGATGGATTTAAAGCTCGTTGAATTAATGTCGTATCATATATAATGGAAAAACTATAAGTGGATTCACTGCAGATCGAGGCAGACAAGCGAGACTGGAAAATACAACGAGAAATATGTTGCGCTTTTGAGAAATTGAGTTGATGTACTGTATTGCTTTTTAGATTTCAATTGTTAGTATTTTTCCAATTTAAATGTTTTCAATTACTGAGAATAACAGTAGGTTTTACAGGTAGGTTGCATATGATTATTATTAATAATGTTTTTGTTATATAATGATACTTTAATAATATAATTATTACTTATAGAATGATACATTAATAATATAATTATTACTTGCTCTGCTTTCTTTCATCTTATAAATTTGCATTACAACTTCTATTCACGAACTCTTCTACGTTCCCTCTTATTTTCTTCAGTAAATTATACGTTGTCATTTTTATTTCGTTGGCTTTGTTCTGCTGGTATTTGAGTGAATTCCCTCAGTATGTCTTTATAGCTCAACTCTTTCGTCTCTGGTATCAGTCTTGTGGCAAGTCGTGGAACTTTTCATTACATTTTTTCATACATCGTAATGTATGGACTTTATATTGGTATGAAGTCCTCACTTTCTCTCTCTCGCTCTCTCACTTTCTCTACCGGTCTCTCCCTTGCTCATGCTCTTTCTCTCTCTCTCTCTCTCTCTCTCTCTCTCTCTCTCTCTCTCTCTCTCTCTCTCTCTCTCTCTCTCTCTCTCTCTCTCTCTCTCTCTCTCTCTCTCTCTCTCTCTCTCTCTCTCTCTCTCTCTCTCTCTCTCTCTCTCTCTCTCTCTCTCTCTCTCTCTCTCTCTCCCATGATGGCTGGGAAAGTTGGTTGAGGTGGTGTTCACAGCCTGAGGTAAGTTGGTGCCTAGGGAGCGACACACACTAACTAACCTAATTCCACTCACCCCGGAGGAGCCTCCACGCCTTCTGCAACACACCAACAAACCTTTATACATAAAATATATAAATTATAATCCAAATTTTTATTTGACTTAAGAAAAGTAGGGTAAATTCTCAAGTATATTTATATAAAGTGATAGTTAGTGATGCCTGTTAGACACTCGTTGTGGCCTCAGACGCCCGGGTTGAGTTATTAAAGCAGGAATAACTTAGTAGATTACGAATGGTTCCCAAATAGAATTTGAACACTTTTAAAGTGCCCTCTGTCCGCTAACCCGCCAAACACACACCGAAACTACGACGTTGGTACAACGTTCGAACAAGTTTTAACACCACCTAACCAGTTATACCAACCAATATAGCAAGTTGTAACAACGTTCTAATACGTCATAAACACGCTAAGCCAAGATGTAACAACTTTATTACAAGTTGTAACAAGCGGAAAATAGAGACAGTTTCGGTTTGTGTTTCCAGGGAAGAACCATCTAGGACAGAAAAGGAATGATATCATGAGAATAATTATTGGTGTATCAATATATGATGGGGGAATATGTTAAGGTCATCTGTTCAAACAATATTGTTATAAAAAAAACAGAAAATGCTAATACTTACAATATGTAACGGGATTATATCACATCCTAACCTACAATAAATAAATTAATACAATATTTATTTCTCACGTATTTTGGTCAAATGAACTGTTTTAAATTAAGTATTTTTTCATTGACACGGTGAGATGTAGGCGTTATATTGTTAGAGATAAGGGTAATAAGGAGCATATACCTGTTGTATACCTATACAACAGGTATACATGAGTCATGAGTCGTATGTTCTTGGCGGGTTCTGAAGGAACAGATAAGACCTGTCTTAACACTGATGCTCATTGGCCCTCTCCTGTACAGGCTTAATGCACTATACAGACGAGGAGTCACAAAAACGTGGCTGAAGTATATTGACCAGACCACACACTAGAAAGTGAAGGGACGACGACGTTTCGGTCCGTCCTGGACCATTCTCAAGTCGATTGTGACTTGATGTGACTTCATATTCCTAGTCAGCGATTAACTGATGAATATCAATTCACCCAAGAGGTGGCATTAGTCAGCGACCAACGCCTTATCCACATGACCAAGATGGATCACTAACGTATCTTCCTTGTTGTAACAGGTGTGGTGTACAAGGCAGTGGCAGAGGACGAGGACCTGGGCCTGACGTGCCCTCTGGGGCCGGGCATCAACACCCGCTGCCCCTGTGCCACCATCCACTACACTATCTACGACAGCAACAAGGAGGTGCACAACCTCTTCACCATCCACGAGACTTCTGGCCTCATACTTCTTCGTCCCTCGGCAAAATTGGAGCCCGGAAGACACTATAATGTGGAAATTGTTGCTTCAAGTGAGTCTCTCTCTTTCTCTCTCTCTCTCTCTCTCTCTCTCTCTCTCTCTCTCTCTCTCTCTCTCTCTCTCTCTCTCTCTCTCTCTCTCTCTCTCTCTCTCTCTCTCTCTCTCTCTCTCTCTCTCTCTCTCTCTCTCTCTCTCTCTCTCTCTCTCTCTCTCTCTCTCTCTCTCTCTCTCTCTCTCTCTCTCTCTCTCTCTCTCTCTCTCTCTCTCTCTCTCTCTCTCTCTCTCTCTCTCTCTCTCTCTCTGTCTCTCTGTCTCTCTGTCTGTCTCTCTCTCTCTCTGTCTCTCTCTCTCTCTCTCTCTCTCTCTCTCTGTCTCTCTGTCTCTCTCTGTCTCTCTGTCTCTCTGCCTCTCTGTCTCTCTGTCTCTCTCTCTCTCTGTCTCTCTGTCTCTCTGTGTCTCTGTCTCTCTCTCTCTCTGTCTCTCTGTCTCTCTGTCTCTATGTCTCTCTCTCTCTCTCTGTCTCTCTCTCTCTGTCTCTCTCTCTCTGTCTCTCTGTCTCTCTCTCTCTCTCTTTCTGTCTCTCTCTCTGTCTCTCTCTCTCTCTGTCTCTCTCTCTCTCTGTCTCTCTCTCTCTCTGTCTCTCTGTCTCTCTCTCTCTCTTCCCGTGTCCTCTGTTCCTCTAGTATTATGACATACCTCTATCAACTTTACTCTGACGTGAGGGAGGGAAATCTCAAGGGAAAACCACCAAGCCATAACTACAACATAGCCCTTGGAAGGGGTCACGACAAGGACTTAGACTGGGTTTCGTTGTTTAAGACTCGCTACTTGGAGCAAAAAGTTCCAAGTAGCACGAGCTATGGTTGAGCCCGTAGACGGTCCTTGGGCTGGGACGGGAGACTGATGTTCTGCCCTCCTTCACAGACACCAACGACTCCAAGAGGGAGCCGGACCACCCGATGTTCGACGTTCAGGTCCTTACTGTGGTCGTCCACAAGGACGATACGCTTCAGGATCTTCTTCATCAGGTAATTCGGCCTTCGAGGCGAGTATCAGGAGTCAAGACTCAACATGGTACGTTTATGTAACTCTAGCGTGATCTCACTGTAGCGTGATCTCACTGTAACGTGATCTCACTGTAGCGTGATCTCACTGTAGTATAAACTCACTGTAACGTGATCTCACTGTAGCGTGATCTCACTGTAGTATAAACTCACTATAACGTGATCTCACTGTAACGTGATCTCACTGTAATGTGATCTTACTGGAGCGTAATCTTACTGTAGCGTGATATCACTGTAGCATGATCTCACTGTAACGTGATCTCACTGTAGCGTGATCTCACTGTAACGTAATCTTACTGTAGCTTGATATCACTGTAGCGTGTGATCTCACTGTAGTATAAACTCACTGCAGCGTAGTTTCACTGCAGCGGAAACTCAGTGTAGTGTAATTTTGTTGCAGAATAATCATACTGTAGCGTATTTTCCTCGAAGCATAATTTCACTGTTTCTTAATTTCACTGCAGTGTAATTGTATTGTAGGTATATATATATGACAATGTCAGACCACGGAGGAAAAATGAAACAGGAATTTCCTTAAGTACTTTCGTATATTAATACATCTTCAGAAGGAGTGACATCTTCACTCCTTCTGAAGATGTATTAATATACGAAAGTACTTAAGGAAATTCCTGTTTCATTTTTCCTCCGTGGTCTGACATTGTCACATTTTTAATCACGTGTTTATTTTCGTGATATACACACGTATATATATATATATATATATATATATATATATATATATATATATATATATATATATATATATATATATATATATATATATATACTTATTACATAAATAAATTGTTATTTACACGCATTAACAAATACGTTTATTTCAGGATGTGCTCCCTGACAATGTGCCAATGGTTAACAACGTCGTCAGCGACACTGTAGGCATCGGGTACGACGGGCAGGAGCAGGACGACAATGACCCCCAACACCAGAGCGACGACGACACCGCTAACACCAGTAACGACAACGACCAGAGCCGGGAAGAGACTCAGAGCGGCGACGAAAGCCTTCAAAGCAGTGACCCAAGCAGCGTTCAAAGTAACGTTGAAAGCCATGCCCAAAGCAGCTTGTCCAAGAGCCGGTACGAGGAACACAGCTACTCCATGGCTGGGGCACCGTACCACAGCAGTCCTCTGAACGACTACACGGACATAGACGACAGCAGTCTCATGGAACCCGAGACCCTTGTCAGGAAAAAGAGATACGTAAGCACTTTCAAACTATCATTCAGGGATTATTACAAACATAACATGGGAGACAGAGGAGACAGATAACACGGGAGACAGATAACACAGGCTGTGTTATCATGAAGAGCCTCGTAGATAAATTAGGGGTTAAGGTGATACAGTCGACATTAAAGGGGAGTGATTATAATAGGCGGCAAATGCCGAATCATGGGGGGTGATAAGTCTATTAGATGTAGGATTTGAATGTTTATCAAATGATAGTCTTCTGATCAATGTTAATAATGCTATTTTCCTGTTATGGCATTTTGTTATAAGAGGAAGAACTTGTATAAATATATGCATATGTTAAAATTGATAATTATGTAATTGAGTACTTATATCAGAGGGACAGATATATCATAGTTTTACTAGTTAAAGGTTGTATCTAACTCAGAACATGATTATGTTGCAAAGCAATTCCTCCAAAGTTAGTTACACAACACAACAAACTAGAATCACCAGCCAATTAGATTCTTCGGAACCTTTATACCACAATCAGTCATGCACTTCAGTAAGTGATGCCCATATGGCTGTCGAGGCTGTGAATAGCTTCACTATCATTGCATGTTTCTCGAAACATTTGTAGTCATTAGAGACATCCTTTAAACCATGTCTAGGTTAATCAAATATAGTTAAATTTCAATAGAGAAACTATTTCCAGCTCATTAACTAATTTAGAAAGCTTATGAACAGATTCATTAGATTATCTGAGATTTAAGGGTTCGTTTTTGTAGGAAAAACTGTTCATACTAGGAGCCACGGATATGAGCAGGCAAACTCTGACACATCAACTTGTATAGATAGTGTAGCTACTGTAGACAACTTGTATGGACAGTGTAGCTACTGTAGACGACTTGTATGGACAGTGTAGCTACTGTAGACAACTTGTATAGTGTAGCTATTGTAGACAACTTGTATAGTGTAGCTACTGTAGACAACTTGTATAGTGTAGCTACTGTAGACAACTTGTATGGACAGTGTAGCTACTGTAGACAACTTGTATAGTGTAGCTATTGTAGACAACTTGTATAGTGTAGCTACTGTAGACAACTTGTATAGTGTAGCTACTGTAGACAACTTGTATGGACAGTGTAGCTACTGTAGACAACTTGTATAGTGTAGCTATTGTAGACAACTTGTATAGTGTAGCTACTGTAGACAACTTTTATAGATATTGTAGCTACTGAAGACAACCTGTATAGATAGTGTTGCTACTGTAGATAACTTGTATAGATAGTGTAGCTACTGTAGACAACTTGTATAGATAGTGTAGCTACTGTAGACAACTTGTATAGATAGTTTAGCTACTGTAGACAACTTGTATAGTGTAGCTACTGTAGATAACTTGTATAGATAGTGTAGCTACTGTAGATAACTTGTATAGATAGTGTAGCTACTGTAGATAACTTGTATAGATAGTTTAGCTACTGTAGACAACTTGTATAGTGTAGCTACTGTAGATAACTTGTATAGATAATGTAGCTACTGTAGATAACTTGTATAGATAGTGTAGCTACTGTAGATAACTTGTATAGATAGTGTAGCTACTGTAGATAACTTGTATAGATAGTGTAGCTACTGTAGATAACTTGTATAGATAGTGTAGCTGCTGTAGATAACTTGTATAGATAGTGTAGCTACTGTAGATAACTTGTATAGATAGTGTAGCTACTGTAGATAACTTGTATAGATAGTGTAGCTGCTGTAGATAACTTGTATAGATAGTGTAGCTGCTGTAGATAACTTGTATAGATAGTGTAGCTACTGCAGACAACTTGTATAGATAGTGTAGCTACTGTAGATAACTTGTATAGTGTAGCTACTGCAGATAACTTGTATAGATAGTGTAGCTACTGTAGATAACTTGTATAGTGTAGCTACTGCAGACAACTTGTATAGATAGTGTAGCTACTGTAGATAACTTGTATAGTGTAGCTACTGCAGACAACTTGTATAGATAGTGTAGGTACTGCAGACAACTTGTATAGATAGTGTAGGTACTGTAATGGATATAATGAACGACATTATAGGGGAATGATATTTCTCAGCAGAATATAACACTATATATGTATATATAACATTTGACACTAGCCCCTCTACTACACCTTACTTTGCTCCTCATCTCTCGTGCCTATTTATTGCCTGTCTCTACTTCCTCATCACAATCGACTTGAGAATGGTCCAGGACGGACCGAAATGTCGTCGTCCCTTCACATTCTAGTGTGTGGTCTGGTCATTATAACACTGTATTCCGTTTTGACAGTCGAAAACTATACCCAGACCACAGTCGACTTTTATGGACTTGGGAACAATAAAATTACATTAATAGTTATATATGTAAAATGTTATTTACGAGCTGCTATCGTAGGATGAAACTCAGAGCAGTCGCCTAATTCTTTGGTAAATATTTAATGTAAAGTGGTCAATAGCATCGACCACCCTGCTCAGGAATAGACCTCAAGTTCACTCTGTTGTGATTCGACTACGCTAGCCACGGTGCTCCAGGGGCCAGATTCACGAAAGCAGTTACGCAAGCACTTACGAACCTGTACATCTTTTCTCAATCTTTGGCGGCTTTGTTTACAATTATTAAACAGTTAATGAGCTCCGAAGCACCAGGAGGCTGTTTATAACAATAACAACAGTTGATTGGCAAGTTTTCATGCTTGTAAACTGTTTAATAAATGTAACCAAAGCCGTCAAAGATTGAGAAGATGTACACGTTCGTAAGTGCTTGCGTAACTGCTTCGTGAATCTGGCTCCAGATTATCTGCACTCTCATGTAGACCAGACCACACACTAGAAATTGAAGGGACGACGACGTTTCGGTCCGTCCTGGACCATTCTCAAGTCGATTGTGTACTGCGTCCTCCGTGTACTCCATTCTCTCATGTACTCTGTGTCTCTCGTAGGCTTCTGGTCCAACGGGGAGCATCGGTGACGCTAACCTGACCCTGACCTTAACATCACCATCCATCAGCTCTCTCCAGCCCGGAAACACCTTGGCCTACAGACTCGACATAGCTCTACCGGTTCTCAGTACGTTCCAAACATCCGGAGGTGGATGAATGGCTCTGGTTGTATTTAGTTATTGATTATAACATGCTCTACCATTACTTATATGTTGCTCTTGCAGTCTTCTCGTTAAGTGTCATTCAGGTGGTGGTATTTCAAAGTGATGGGTCGTTAACATTCTTTTATCTTATTTCCAGATTTCCTCCCCCGAGTGAGCAGCTTCCGCCTCTTCTGGATATTGTGAAACCTGTTTGATTAATTTGTTTTAACCAGAATAAATTTTTCCTTGAAATTTTAAGCAAAATCCTAGTTACTTTATATTCCCGGTTTCCCTTGATACTGGGAGATTTTTTTCCTTCTTTTAGAAATTATTTTCCCTTCCTAATTAAATATATTTGTCATACATCTTATTTTCCTGACATTTGGATCAACTTTGCAATTATTTTAAATTATCTTAAATAATATGAATTACTAATTATTAAATATATCCACATTTTTCCTCTATTCCTTTCACACTGCCTTACCCAGTTTCCATGTCTGAAATGTTCCCCTGTAGTTTAAATAATATTCTTCATAATTTCCATTGATTTCTTTCATTAAACAATGTTTTTTCCTTAAAAAATATCTTTGTTATCTCTAAGAGGGATAAATATCAATGTGTCATCAAATTATAAGCATAATCAAATCGTTTTACAACCTGGAACACAACATTTTCGCATCCCATCTGTAGAAAATACCTAAAATAATTTCCTCCAAGAATTTCATTCTTCTATTCACTTCAAATCTCCTTCCCTCCAACTCTTCTCGTTAACTCAAACTCTTCTCCCTCCCTCACTCACTCCAACACTTCTCACTCACTCCAAGTCTTCTCCCTCACTCACTCCAACTCTCCTCCCTCACTCTAGCAACGGCAATCGACCTGGTGGCGGAAATTTTCGTGATGGATGCTGTGTCTGGGATCACCCCCTTCGCCCTGTGTGATGTGACTGTCACCACCATCGGGTCCAAAATCACTGACGCGACGGGGGCCGCTATCACTCCCAGCGCCATCCCCGTCGTCAACAAACTCAATGCTAACTTTGGCACTTTTGTAAGTTCTCAAATGTTAACTTTGGCACTTTTGTAAGTTCTCAAATGTTAACTTTGGCACTTTTGTAAGTTCTCAAATGTTAACTTTGGCACTTTTGTAAGTTCTCAAATGTTAACTTTGGCACTTTTGTAAGTTCTCAAATGTTAATTTTGGCACGTTTCTTAGTTCTCAAATGTTAACTTTGGCACTTTTGTAAGTTCTCAAATGTTAACTTTGGCCCGTTTGTTAGTTCTCAAATGCTAACTTTGGCCCGTTTGTAAGTTCTCAAATGCTAACTTTGGCCCGTTTGTTAGTTCTCAAATGTTAACTTTGGCGCGTTTGTTAGTTCTCTAATGTTAACTTTGGCACTTTTTTAGTTCGCTAATGTTAACTTCAGTAATTGGTTAGTTCGCTAATGTTAATTTTGGTATGTTTGTAGGTTCTTGTATCGTGTGTAGGGAAAGGAAAAGACAGCGACAACTGCAGCGATTCTAGGTGACATTTGGCTATGTATTCTGGTGGATTTCTCTTCACCTAAGCTATCAGTTCTATTGTGATAGACAGTATAAGATAGTCAAGATAAGCTCGCCTCTTATCTTCATGCTAGATCTAGCTTCAGTGTGACACATGTCATACTGGTGACAAGCGTGTCTACCGATACCCCTTTTTAAAGTTGTCTAGTAGCAACCCGTTCTCGCACTTTCGTATAGTCAATATTGACTTATTAAATACGTGTATATGTGACATACTAAACATACTAGTTTACCTTGAAAAGCTTCATAGAAAACACCGACCGTAAGGTAAGGTAAGGTCGGTGTTTTCTATGAAGCTTTTCAAGGTAAACTAGTATGTTTAGTATGTCACATATGCACGTATTTAATAAGTCAATATTGACTGTAATAAAGTGCGAGAACGGGTTGCAAGTATTTACAGTTTTCCATTGTTACTTAATCTTCTCCTTTAGGCATGGCTGCGTTGCCTCCCTATTGATTTATTCACTTATCCACCCTTTGGCCCGGCTATTTACCCACCTATCCACCCTTTGGCGTGGCTATTTACCCACCTATCCACCCTTTGGCGTGGTTATATTGTCACAACATCTAACATCAAAGAGAGAACATTAACCTAACCTCCTCCTCCTGTTCCAGTACGACCGGGCGGTGATCGACTTCGGCCAAGTGAAGAATGGTGCCACGTACAGCGCCGGCCAGACGGACTTATCGGACAGCACCATCTCCATCACCTTCACCGCCACCCTCATCACCAACACGGCCTACACGAACAACACAGTCGTCATCACCGCCGGTGCTGAGTACGACAACGAGTCCATGGTGTGGGTCAGCCAGGAGACATACTCCTACAGTATGGCTACGGTGAGTGACTTGATAGACCTGAGATCGCTTGATGATTTTTTAAGCGCTGGTTAGACGTGTGTGAAGGAGTTTGAGTGGGAGTAAATAGAAGCTGTTTCATATGAGCCAATAGGTGTACATCTATTGGCAATAGATGAACGCCTATTGGCTATTGGTAAATCACTGTACCTATTCAATAGGTACAGTGATTATTGCTGTAACTGTGACTGGTTTCAAATCCAGCATTAGTGTTCCACCCCCCATGTCTATCTTCTGTACCTATCTAAACATGCCCCACTCCCTCTGTATCTATCTATCCATGCCCCTCCCTCTGTACCTATCCATGCCCCCTTCCCCCTGTACCTATCTATCCATACCCCCACCCCTCCCTCTGCACCTATCCCTTCTCTCTCTCTCTCTCTCTGTACCTATGCATTCCTGCTCCTTCCCTCTGTGTGTATATCCCTCCTGCCTCCCTCCCTCCACAATGCCTACACCAGCCGTGTCACGCTGACTGTCGTACTGCCTCCGCAGGTAACGTACCCGCAAGCTGTGACCTTGACATCTCCGGCCTCCGTGGCGCAGTACTCTGGCGGAAGCTTCACCATCACCGCCTTCATCACCGACCCCTTCGACCAGTTCCTCCTAGAGGTCTATACCGTCGACCAGATATATGTGAGTTTCCGGCTTCTGGACTTCGGTGTTCTTATCTAATCGGTCTTGTTTTCAGAGCCTAGCTTCAGTTCCTGAGGCGAACTTCAGTTCCTGAGCCCAGCTTCAGTTCCTGAGCCCAGCTTCAGTTCCTGAGCCCAGCTTCAGTTACTGAGCCTAGCTTCAGTTCCTGAGCCTAGCTTCAGTTCCTGAGCCTAGCTTCAGTTCCTGAGCCTAGCTTCAGTTCCTGAGCCCAGCTTCAGTTCCTGAGCCTTGCTTTAATTCCCGAGTCTCGCCCTTTCACATGTCGAAGTTCTGATTTACTGGATACTGTAAAATGAGAGATGGAGGTAGCCTTTGGTATTGGCCATTCTTGTTCGTGGCAATGGTTACTGGATTAAAATTGAGCTGTTGCCTCATCCCTGTGGTTCATGTTCGTGTCTAGCTTCCTTCCATGTCCTCTCGTTGTGCTAATGCAGGACCTAGATACTCAGTATCTATTACATATATTCCTCACATGTACAGTGAGTGAGTGAGTGAGTGAGGTGTGAATCTAGTATTTTCACGTGTGTGTGTGTGTGTGTATATACAACCCGTCCTCGCATACAAAGATCCAAGCTCTTTAATCCAGCCGCCAAACTCCCTGTTTATGAATGAAAAGCGATTTACACACGACTCACAACTGATGACGTCCGAACACTTCCGGAACAAGTCCTTCGCTCACGTCCTCTGTTCGAACGACAATTCTATAAATGCTTCACCCACGTACTTAAATATACAAATAATCGCCAACAGAACCTAAAACACTTGACCTAACCTAACTATATATAGATTTTTTTATGCATAATAATATTAATTTACATATGAGAACAAACCAATTTGTAATACACAGTATGTTAAAATGTATGAACGCGTCTGGGGAGGACGGCAGCTGCTTTAAGCAGCCTAGTGAGAGGACGGGTTGGTATATAAGTGGGTACTAAGTGTCATGTGAGGGGTTACAGCCCCGCTCCTATGCCAGGTACCACAACGGGCTCACCATAGCCCGTGCTACTTGGAACTTTTTTTTTGTTCCAAATAGCAAATCTTAAACAATATGTCACGTGAGAACTAACACGCCACTCTGCCCTGCAGGACAGGTTCACCGTGTCTCAGGTCTTCCTGCTGTCCCAGGGGGCAAACTTCGCCTGTATGCTGCCGAACAACATAGTGACGACATACTATGACTCTGTGTCTGGAAAGACAGTCCACCGGGCGACCTTCTCCACCCTGCTTATTGCCAAGTTTCTGGACTACAGTGAGTATCAGCGGTCAAAACTCCTCTCCAGGTTAACCCACACCAGGTGAGACCTGGCCAGGTCAAGCTAGACCAGGTGAGACCTGGCCAGGTCAAGCTAGACCAGGTGAGACCTGGCCAGGGGCCAGATTCACGAAAGCACTTACGAACCTATACATCTTTTCTCAATCTTTGGCGGCTTTGTTTCCAATTATTAAACAGTTTGAGCTGCGAAGCACTAGGAGGCTGTTTATAACAATAACAACAGTTGAATGGGAAGTTTTCATGCTTGTAAACTGTTTCATAAATGTAACCAAAGCCGTCAAAGATTGAGGAAAGATGTACACGTTCGTAAGGGCTTGCGTAAGTGCTTTCGTGAATCTGGCCCCTGGTCATGAAAAGTACACTTCAACATTAGGGGTTACTCTCTTTATAGCAGAAGTCTTGGAGTAAAGTATTACTGCTATGATTTCTCTCTAGGTGAGGTTAGGTAAAGGTTAAGAATCATTTGGAGGAGATTTAATGACAAACTACAATCAATTGAACACTTGTTTTCTGCAGGTGCGCTAACAGCTGCCGTCACAGACACCAATTACCAGTTGGTATTTGGATTCAACATCTTCGTAACGGACGCTCAGGTGGGCGACGTGCTGAACGTTGGAGTTGGCATTGTCGTCGGCACGAGCACCGTCTGGTCAAGCACTGCCCAAGTCTCCGTGACAGCTGGAGCTGCCCCTGTGTCCTCTGCAGCCACCTGGGGCACGGTCAGTCACACTACCATCTGCTTATATTGGACACCCAACACACACATCTGAAACACACACACCTGAAAATAAAAAGTCTCGCGACGCTTCGGTCCGCTCTGGTCCCAGACTCACGAAGCAGTTACGCAAGTACTTATGAACGTGTACATCTTTCCTCAATATTTGACGCCTTATGGTTACATTTATTAAACAGTTTACAAGCATGAAAACTTCCCATTCAACTATTATTGTTATAAAACAGCCTCCTGGTGCTTCGGAGCACATTAACTGTTTAATAATTGTAAACAAAGCCGCCAAATTTGAGAAAAGTGCAGGTTCGTAAGTGCTTCGTGAATCTGGCCCCAGGATCTTCTCACTCAACTTGATAATGCTCCGAAACAGACCGGAACATCGTCCCTTGATTTATTTTCAGCACTGGGGGTTAGGTGTCTAATTTTTCAGCCTTATTATTGTCTCTTACTGTCTGCAACTTTTACTTGTTGTCTACGAAGTCAATACCGGACACAGTCTTACGACGCAGACACGTCAAAAGAGGAAGAAAACCACATTAAGTATTGTTCCTTTGTCTCTGTGATGAGACGCTAATATTTGAGCCGGAGTGGAGATCTTGTGCATAGGTTGAGATAACAGAACCTCTCGCTGAGATAGCTATCGTGGTCAAAATAGCGCCTTGGCTGATATCATGTCAGCTTCGCTGAAAAATTAGTTAATGTGTTCTTATGACCCAAGATTGATATCATGGATGCTGTAACGCCTGGTTGATATCCCTGGACGTTTACAGTATGAATTATATCGCTGGACCTTGTGGCATGGTTGATATCCCTGAAAATTTACATCATGGTTGATATCCCTAAATTTTACAGTATTGTTGATATCCATGGACCTTTGCCCCATGTTGGTATTATGGAAATAATTACGCTTATTTTCTCTCGTCATTTTTATTATAATTTATAAAATAAACTAAATCGAGCAGAAACGCAAACAAGAAATGTTATCCCAAATTCATCGCGCTATTTTTTCCACATTTTTCCCTAAATTCATCGTTCATTTATTTTCATTTTCTTTCCATAAAATTGACGTTATTTAATCTTCAGAGCCATGTTGGTCCCCAGAGAATAATGTTCCGGTAGTATGAGTACGACATACTAGCTTCTTCAAAACATTCCAGAACTAAAGAACCCCAAGAACAATTCTGTGACTTTGTATTTCCAGAGCATTTCTGTTATCAGTTGTCCACAGACCAGCAAGTGTCTGGACTAAGCCCATCTGTGTCCAGAGACTAACACAGTGTTTCACCAACTCTACAGCCAGAGGTGAGGTGATTATCAAGGGAAAGCGTTAAGCCATTACGACTATATAACACTGGGAAGGGGCCTGGATAAGGATTTTTGATGGGACGGGGAAAAGGAATGAGGCCCAACCACTTGGACGGTCGGGGATTGTGTGCGTAACCCGTAGGATCTAAATTAGTTCAATTTCTCGCGTTTCCAGGTTCAGCCAGTAACATCAACTGCTGTTGCCCTGCAAGGAACAGCCACCTGGGGCTTCACGGTGACGATTCCCAGCGGACAGAACTCCCTTGTCGACTGTACTGCTACTCCCGGCGCCGGAGGTGAGTCCCAGACTATGGTAGTAATCAAATAACCTGGAGTCGGTGTCGGAAATTGTGTATCTGGCCCACAGCTTGGGTTAGGTGTTGCCAGATGTCGTCCCGAGGTTCGAGGTGTGTATCTTGGTAATATTGTACCACATGACTAATTCAATTTTCTTTCAATATGAGTGTTCAAATGACCCAAACAAATTACCCAAAACGATCAAAGTTGCTGGTGACTGTGACAAGTCATTACATATAATATATGAAAATTAAAATTGATAATACTTTCAATAAATAGTTCAGTTTCTACGGCCAACAGCTATTAGCTTAGAGAATGAGTTAGTTAAATAGAGAGTTAAATAATTCGGAGAGCAGGAAAAAAGCTTCCATTTCGTTCGATTCGCTCGCTGACCACCAGGGGGCCAAGACGTGCTCACCTGACCTGCCAGTTGTTACCTGGTGTTGTGTGGAGGCGGGTGTGGTGCGGTGCGCCCGCTGGCGGAGGACCCGGCTGGCGGTATGGTTGTTAGTGGTGTCTCCCGCGTCAGGCGGGTTGACACGGCGCGCCTCTACTTTTCTGGGGCTGTAGACTGGCCAATAGTGGAAATTGCGGTCATCGACGAGCTCAAAGTGGACATTCAGGATTTGTTAGGGCTGGAAAAGCTCTCTCCTACTCGGATGGCGGTGTCCTTCCGCTCGAGTCTGTTGTACTGGGAGATTGTGGTGCGCTGGGCCGGCCGCACGGTTCCAATCTCTACCTCGGCTGTGTCTTTAGACGTTTCGAATCCCTGAGGGGCCGTGCAATATGTGAGCGTTCATGGTGTGCCGGTGGCGTGGACGTCGCCGTGGTGTCTTTCGTGTTGAAAGTTGTGCCCCCTGCCGGTGGCTCCCCTTCGAGGACGGTTGCCCCTGGTGGTCGTGTTATCTAAGGATGGGCGTCGGGGTGCTTCAGCCCATGTTCCGGTTGGCGGGGGCCCTGAGGCTCCGGCGGAGGGCTCCTCCGTGGGGTGCGGTGCCTGGTGTCGATCCCTGTGCGCGCCCTGGGATCCAGGGTGATGTGCGGCCGGTGGGTCGCGACGGGTTGGGGTTGTCCCGATGGCGCCCTCTGTTGTATGTGCGTCCTTGAATGTTCGGGGTTTGAATGCTCTTGGGGTTCAGTTGGGCTTGTTGGATGTTCTGCGGGAGCAACGTGTGGATGTAGCTCTTTCAAGAGCATAATGTTCATGATGTGTCCGTGTTGCAGTGTTTAGGTGTTCATTATGTGGTTGCTGTGGCTCTGTTGTGGTTGCTCCGGTGGTGGTGGTGTGTGTGGGTGGGTGGGTGGGTGGGTGGGTGGGTGGGTATGCTTCTTTCCTGGCTCCTGCGTGGGCCATTGCTTTTGCCCTGTGTGGGTTGTTTACGCTGTTTTGTTTCCCCCTATTTTGTTCTTTCTGGTGTGAGTGTTTATTGTGAGTGTCTCTGTATATTGCTGTTAGCCCCTGTTTGTTTCTTGGTCTGTATGTTACTGTATCTGCGCCTTGGACGTCTTTGTTTTTTTATGTTTATAATGTATTTCGTGTACCATGTGCTTTTCCCTTGTGATGTTTTTGTGGTTGTGTATGTGTGTGTTGATTTATTCTGTATACGTTCTTGATGTGTCTTTCCATGTCCATGTAATTACTGTGTCCATTTTTCATGTTTGTTTATAGTTTGCCTCAGTACCTGGCGTTTCTGGGTTCTGGTGGTGGTCTGTGTTATTCTGTACCTGTATTTTTCTGTTCATGTATTGTGTGTTCTGCTATACCTTGTATAATTCTTTTTATAAAAAAATCATTTCGTTCCTAAGCACGAAATATTATTTTGCAATTTTATCCTTTTCTACAGCCAGTGTGTGTGGCTTCAACTACGGCTTCGTGGGAGCAAACATAGCGTTCATTCCCAAGCTGTACGAAAACGTTGTAAATGGCAGTAGTGGATCATTGAGCTTCAGCCTTAATTTCAACTCGACCGGCGTTGTAAGTTCAAATTATATCTGTAATTACCGTGTGTGTGGTGTGTGTGTGTACTTAACTAGTTGCACTCGCCTAGTTGTACTTCCGTGGGTTGAGCTCTGGCTCTTTGGTCCTGCCTCTCAACCGTCAATCAACTCTTGTACAGATTCCTAAGCCTACTTGGCTCTATCATTTCTACATTTGAAACTGTGTATGGAGTCAGCCTCCACCTGTATGTATGTGTGTGTGTGTAACGTACACCTGCGTGTTTGTTCACCTCAGCGTCAGGCATATGTACGGTACATAATCAAGAACATATCTCCCAATATCCACACATGTCTTTATCATTGCAGTTTACAACTACTGGCGCCAATGACATAACCTTCGAGGTGTCGGTGCAGTACTCCACCGCCACTCCCCCCACCACCTCTCTCAGCTGTGTGGGTGGCGTGTCCGGCACCCTCACGGCCACCAGTGGGGTGAGTCGCCTCTCCTACCCCCTGTTGTTTCAGATTTAGCTACTCAGAACGAAGTGTCCATGTAGCACGGGCTATGGTGAGCCCGTGCTACATGGGCTCCTACCACCCCTGTCACACCTCTTCATATATATCACACTTGTCTTCACCTTTGAACTCGTATAGAAATGATATAGTTTCATGAAAACTCTGCTTGTTAGGCAAATATGGCTTTGCACACAAGGCCAAGTAGTGCATTCTGGTTATCACTTAAATAGCAAACAAGGATGTCAATGAGCATACATGAGAGCCTCAGAGACACTGTACCCATCACACTATACCCAACACACACTGTACCCCCACACTGTACCCACAGACTGCCGGCACGGGTGACATGAGCGGTACGGTGAAGTCTCTGGTAACTGATGTCACGTGGTACGCTGGGTCACAGGCGGGACTTCTCGTCACACTCAACTTTACAGGTAACCTTTGCGTGTGTGTGTTTGAAAATAGGACTCTCGATCTATTTTCCTCTATAGTATCTATTAAATTTGGTAAATATTTTTCTCACATATACATCCACAAGATGAATCCCATAGCAGCAGCTAACGCCCAGGTACCTATTTGTTGGGTGAACAGGAGCTTCAGGTGAAATAAATGCTGCCCCTTTCTTTCTGTCTTGAGAGAGGGTGAATGTGTCTTGTGAGTGTGTGCTGCGAGTGTATGAGTCTGATGAGAATTGATGGAGTTTGTTGGTGTGTTGAGTAAATAACGTACGAAAGAGCAAATAAAGTGCATGGTAATATGTTGTATACGTTGGATGACTGTGTATATTAAGCGTATATGTATTATGAGTGTATGTAAACTACCTCTTTATACTCTTTTAATTATGTATGTTCACGATACCATTAAAATTATATTATAAATTATGTTTCACTCTTAACCTGGTTGAAACCATTGACTTCATTCAGTGAATTTTAATTGGACTAATTTATTTTTTAAATTTTGGAACAAATTCCCTCAATATACTTCTATCCGAGTGTATACACTTTCTACTTTGTTCATAATTTTAGTTTTCATAAGTAACTTCTTACTTATAAGATCCTTTGAACTTGATTTTACACATATATGTAGCATTTTCCACATGTATTTTTAACGTTTTCTGCACGCCATAATTATTGCCATGCATTCTAATTCGTCATAATTTTGGACAAAACTTCGTAATTTTGTCCCAAATTATGTCAATTTAATTTAGTCCAAAAAATATAATTCACACAATAATTGGCAAAATCTACTCGATAACTTTCATAATGTTCTCTACAGTTATGACAATATATTCAATAATTATGCCATAATTTATCCAGTAAATCTGACAATTTATTCAGTAATTCTGACAGAATTTATGCCATTATTATGACAATTTACTTCATAAATATGATGAAATTTACTTTAATTGTGCCATTAAATCACATTCCTATGCAATCCGTGCTTGTCGTGGCCACAGGAGGGGGAGTGCCGTACTCCTCGCTGGTGCTGGAGGCCGCAGGAGACCTGAGTAAGACCACTTGGGGCGCCAGGGCCTGCAACGCCAGGGTGATCTCTGCAGGCAAAGCTGTTCCCTGCATCGCCGGCTCCATGGGCTTCACCAACGACGCGGTCATCCTGCAGCCAGCGTGAGTTTCCTGTGTGGGAAAGTTGGAGGGAGAGTGGCGGGGGTTTGTCCCTTCCAGTGTGGGAATACTAGTGTGTAGGGAGGGAGGGAGGAACAGGGAGCCGAGCGGACAGCACCCTGGACTTGTGATCCTGTGGTCCTGGGTTCGATCCCAGGCGCCGGCGAGAAACAATGGGCAGAGTTTTTCACCCTATGCCCCTGTTACCTAGCAGTAAAACAGGTACCTGGGTGTTAGTCAGCTGTCACGGGCTGCTTCCTGGGGGTGGAGGCCTGGTCGAGGACCGGGCCGCGGGGACACTAAAGCCCCGAAATCATCGCAAGATAACAGCAAGATAGGAGTCGCTTGTGTGTGCTGGTGAGGAAGGGGGAGTAAGAGTATAGCTTGTGTGTGCTGGTGAGGAAGGGGGAGTAAGAGTATAGCTTGTGTGTGCTGGTGAGGAAGGGGGAGTAAGAGTATAGCTTGTGTGTGCTGGTGAGGAAGGGGGAGTAAGAGTATAGCTTGTGTGTGCTGATGAGGAAGGGGGAGTAAGAGTATAGCTTGTGTGTGCTGGTGAGGAAGGGGGAGTAAGAGTATAGCTTGTGTGTGCTGGTGAGGAAGGGGGAGTAAGAGTATAGCTTGTGTGTGCTGGTGAGGAAGGATAAAGCAAGAAAGAGGCACTAGAGAGTAGATGGACACAGGGAATTCTCTCAGAGGAGAATAATCTTAAAAGTATACAGTGAACCGACCACAACTCAAAAAAATGTTCATTCCTGATTCTAGGGATATAAATCTTGCTCCCTTACCGCCCTGAACAGCAACTCCGCTCGATCTGACTGTTGCATGTGTGTCTGTCTGTCTGTCTGAACGTTTTCTGTATGTGCATCTTTATGTATATTGGTGTATACTGGCAGCAGGTTTTCTTTTAAGCATGTCTCATTGCACATAACCGCATATTCTGTATTTACTATCTTCTGATTTAGGGCTTCTATCCCTCTATTTTCTTAGCATCAGGGCTTAGCTGAAAGAGGAGTTCTCCAAAACTCATTTTCGCCTATTTACTTCATGTATATATGTATGTATGTCTCTCACTCAATCTTATCTCAATACGTTTAAGAGGAACTAGCGTTTAATTTGTCTTGTATTTCCCGGTTCACTACACACGTGGATCCTTGCTCCCACAGAATGAGCACCTCAGTGTTTAACGACGGCATTGAGATGAGTCTTGGACCAGGGTGCGGCACCAACAGGATCTCGCCAGGAAGCCCAAGTGACTATATGGTTAAAATTATGTTAACTTACGACTTGCCACCTCTCCAGCCGGCTGCTGTAGGTAAGGTCAAAGGGAAGTGTGAGGGGGGTCAGGTTAGGGTGTGAGGGGGGCAGGTGAGGGTGTGTGGGGGGGGGGCAGGTGAGGGTGTGTGGGGGGGGGGCAGGTGAGGGTGTGTGGGGGGGGGCAGGTGAGGGTGTGTGGGGGGGGCAGGTGAGGGTGTGGGGGGGGGGCGCAGGTGAGGGTGTGTGGGGGGGGGGGCAGGTGAGGATGTGTGGGGGGGGCAGGTTAGGGTGAGAGTGTGAAGCATACAAGAAAAAATAATTTCTTCATTTTTAAGAATAATTCCCTTTCTGACAAGAGCTACACATCTATATTAATGTGCTCGCTAATCCACATTTTCCTCTATTTAAGAATCACATCTTGCCATTCTCCTACAGTATACCATCTGCTTCACAACCTTCACTCTAACCTAGCTAACTTTACTCCTTAATATAGATGACCTGATTTTCACGACCTCATCTGACCCGAGATGTTTGCGCACTTCCAGCCGGGGCGTTTAACCTAAGTGTCGGCATCAGCTTGGCCAGTAGTCTCATCTGGACCGGATGGGAGTCGTTCACGTACACAGCTGCAGCGCCAACCGGGACTCCTGCTGTGGTGTTCGCCATCTCTCCGGTGCCCACAGTCACCACACTCACCCCTGGAGTTCCAACGCTCGTTCAAGTAAAGTATTCCCTGTGGAATTATTCTATTCCGTGGCGCGTCTTGTGTGTAATAGATTTGTCATTGGTCACTGGGAGCCGGTCGGCCAGCACACTGGACTTGTGATCCTATGGTCCTGGGTTCGATCCCAGGCGCCAGCGAGAAACAATGGGCAGAGCTTTTTTCACCCTATGCCCCTGTTACCTAGCAGTAAAATAGGTACCTGGGTGTTAGTCAGCTGTCACGGGCTGCTTCCTTGGGGTGGAGGCCTGGTCGAGGACCGGGCCGCGGGGACACTAAAAAGCCCCGAAATGATCTCGAGATAACCTCTCAAGATAGATAACCTGGTGTGTGTGTGTGTGTTAAATTTCTGTAAAAACTATTGTCAGTGATGTGAAAATATTCTATCAGCATAAACATTCTTGGTTATATCAATTGATAATTACTTTAGTTTCATTCAATTATTACATTATTAAGCCATATTGTGGCATTAATTTACTTTGATTTTTATGAAGCTAATAGGTATGCTCGTAATTCGGGACATTGAGCAGTTTTTGTAACTTATTTTTAATATTAAAAAACACGGATCAAGAGTTTTAGGAAGTACAAGTGATTTCGCGAGTCCTTAATTGAGATTTATATAAAATGCACATTTCGATAATTGCAAAAATTTGAGTTGTGTGCGCGTGTGACACGACCACACCTGACAGATGTGGCACTTAAACACAACCTAAATGACAGTCACGTGACACCTACTGTCACCTGTGATCGGTCACAGGTTATGTTGACATTCTGCCAATGGCTGTTATAGCATGTGTAGTCGTGCAACTCTAGTACATATTGACTGACTACTGTAGCACACGTGGACTGACTGCTTGAGCAGGTATGGACTGACTATTTGAGCAGGTATGGACTAACTATTTGAGCAGGTATGGACTGCCTACTTGAGCAGGTATGGACTATTTGAGCAGGTATGGACTAACTATTTGAGCAGGTATGGACTGCCTACTTGAGCAGGTATGGACTATTTGAGCAGGTATGGACTGACTACTCTAGCATGAATATACCGAGTATTCAAACACACATGGATTCCATATGTTTAGCTGCGAGAAAAACCAGGAGATGACGCTAAAATAAGACAGAGTATCTGAACTTCAATTTACATACCTTTACTTCCTTGATTTCTGTACAATGTTCTCAGATGGTAAATAACACTTGCCAGCTATGTATTATGTGGTATTGATACCTGACATAACAAATATTCCACATTCTTTATAAAGTAGATCTTATATCGTTCTATTATGTTAATGAATAAATCTTCCTTAGGTTTTGCTCAAGATTCCACCGGGATCAGTTGGCACTTATACAATCGTCTTCTCTGTGGACAACGTCTTAATTATCAGCCTGTGCAAAATTATAATTATGAACGTTGGTAAGTTACCACCGCTAATGACCGTTGCTGTGCTCATATTAATAAAGGGAATAAAGCTTGCCAAAAACTTGTTAAATCAGTAAAATTACAAATTTAGGTAGAATCCAAACGTCTATTCACACGGCGACTAATGTCTACAGGTGCTAACTTCCCGTGTGTGGATAGTAATCCATACTTCAAGGAGACTATCCCCTATCAACCCACCACAGTGGTTCATAGCCCCACAGCCTGGGGCCTCTCTGCTACTCTCAACTTTGGGGTTCTACGTAATCTGGGTACGTGAAGGTAAACTGTTGGTTCCACGAGCTGGTGGGTACTAATTGTAAACTATTGCTTCCACGAGCTGGTGGGTACTAATTGTAAACTATTGCTTCCACGAGCTGGTGCCTCTGTCTTAACGTTACAGGTGCGTGACGTTATGGTGTTGTCAGGTTACTGAAGTGCAGAGGCACAGTTCTGTACCGCACTCGAACTTTAACATTATGGAAGTACACGGCTATGGTCATGGTAGCACATAGCTTATGCAGACGACGAGTCACAATAACGTGGCTGACGTATGTTGACCAGACCACACACTAGAAGGTGAAGGGACGACGACGTTTCGGTCCGTCCTGGACCATTCTCGAGTCGAAACGTCGTCGTTCCTTCACCTTCTAGTGTGTGGTCTGGTCAACACACGGCTTATCACTTCACATTCACGTTAGACAGTCACTCTCCTTATACCGTCATCACTTAACACATGCATCATAATATCACTGTATTCATAAGAATGTCACTGTCATTATGTTTAGGTCTCTGAGCCGCTACAGCTGTAGCAGACAGCTGTAGTGCCGTCTCACTGAAGCAGTGTCTAAGGGTAGTTCTTCACAGCCTCATCATTGCCCTAATGTCCTGTCAGATCACACAATGTCGGCTCATCAGACTGTCCAGAACATTCAGAGAGATGTGTCCTTTGATTCAGAGAGATACAAGCACATGTGGGTCTGCTTTACGAGACTTGTAGGTCTTACGCATTTATTTACGAGACTTGTAGCTCTTAAGTTTCTTTACACGACTAGAAGCTTTTACGAGTCCACTTAAGACGTGTAGCTCTTACCTCGATCATGGCAGCTTGGTCTGTATTAAATATTTTAACATCTCTGAGGTACTACGAAGTCAAATATAACACGAATAATCTTGGAATTACAACGACCTCGTAGTGCTTCGAAGCTTGTGAACAGTTTAATAAATGCCCCGTGATGGAGGTACGATGTACACAGCTCGTAGATGAACACGTAAAAGGTACAAAACTCGTAGATCGACATGTAAGAGGTACAGATCTCATGAGAATACAAGCCAGAGACTGGCTGTAACGCACCGATCTCCACTCACTGAACAGGGAATGGGTCCTTGTACCCGAGCAACATAGGGGACGACGACTCGATAGTGATGGGCGTGTTGATGAAGGGCGTGACCGCGGGCACGGGGACCCTCACCGCCACCTTATCCAACTTCGGGGCCGTCGTCACCCCATCTACCACCATCTTCACCGTCTCGTCCACCCCGCCCAATGTAAGAGCTCTTGGAGGCTGGCTGTTTCAGTCCCTTTCTGACGCCTGCATAGTCTTCCCTCCCTGTTGACGTCTTGTGATTTAATTGTGTAATATGTGGGTTACCTGTGTGTACGGGAGACGGGGAGGTGGTACATGGCGTCGTCTCCACAGACGGGTACAGTCATCAGTGTGACGGTAGCGGGCGTGGACGGCACCGCCACCGCTTACGAGGGAGTCATGAAATTGGTGGACTTCTCGCTGGCTGTTCCTGTAGGCTACGGCAAGGACGTCTCCGCTACCATCACCAACAACGATGCTGCCACCTTCTCTATCTGCTTCGCTGCCGTCTACTCGGTGAGTGGGTGCTTCCTGCGGCTGTCCGCCTCTCCACAACTATAAGGATTTATATACTATCCCCTCTACTACACCTTAGTTTGCTCCTCGGCACTCTTGCCTATTTATTTTAAAATATATCACTCGTGAATAATTCTAACTACAAGTCAATCATTTAAGAGTGAAAGTATTATTTATTATATACTGAAAACGGATTCAGAATTTCATTTACTTTATTTAGCCTATAAGTGTGTCCACTACAGTTAAGTTAAATATAAAAAGGGGATTAATATACAATTCCTTTTTCAGTAATCTCTATTGCATGAATCTAAAATCCCTCGAGGCACTCTGTATAAGGGATCCTGTACATCAGATGCATTGCTTCTGGCAGTATGGGTTCGAGTCACTTCTGGGGTGTGAGTTTTCAGTTGCATATATGCCTGAAGACCGTTCAGGCTTGTTCGCATATATAATGTATGTATTTAAAACGACTCGTTTACACAGGCCGGAGTGAACCTGCCCTGTCTCATCCCCTCTGAAACCACCTCGAACAAGACGGTGAGCACGCCGGCACAAGAGGTGATGGATGTACAGTTGAAATCCGTCTGTTATTACCCAAGCACAAACAACGTCTCCGACAGCGTGGTGAGTTAGGTCTACCATGTAAGGCTTCATTAAGGCAGTTTCATTGATATTCAGGCATACTGGATTAATATTTTCTTGTAAGAATTACTTACTTTAAGGTCTTAAGAACATATGAGTAAAGGAAAGAGCAGAAGGTCTATTTGCTCATCCGTGGCAGCTCTTATATATACCAAACCAGTCACTCAGATGTTTAATCTACGCTTAAACAATCTAGCTATCCCACATATGTTTTTACTCGGCAATCTGTTACATTAACAGTTTAGGGGGTAACAATCTAAGCGATCTCTCTAATTGAAATTAAGTTTGAGGTAAAATACACACAAGGGGATGAGGTAGCTCAAGCTATTCTCACCCCGTTCAGTACATCGTGTTAATACATACATAGATACACATCACAAACAATAAACATATTACCGAACATTCTGAGAGATAAACATAATTTCTTTAGTAGTAGTAGGCATCCATCAGTCTCAGGAGACTATGGAGTTGCGTTCTGGTTGTCGGTCTGGAGTGGCCTCACCAGGGCGCAAAGCCAGGGTGGGTTGATTCGGGGGAGAAGCTGTTACCCAGGCAGCAGGTCCCCCCCTCTCCACGGCGCTGAAAGTCTCCAATGGAAAGGCATACGCCAATACGATTGGTTCCAGCGCCGTCGCAGGAACTGAGAGTTCCGGGGTTTTCTTTACACACTAATGAACTGATGCCCCTCGCTCGTCCCCCCAGGCTGTCCTTCGGGTAGGCGCCATGTTTCTACCCACCTTGGGTACAACGGCTACACTTTCCTTCGTCCTCACCGAGAATGGGGTGGCGCAGGCGCCTGTGACTTTCGTCATCACCAAGACAGCGACGGCCTTCAACACCACCGTCAACACCACCGGTATGATGATTCAGCCGGTCAATAACGGCACTCAGTATGTCACTCCTGGGATGAGGACTTGGATCGGAATCGCTTTCACGATTCCCAGGGGTGTCACTACTAATGTTGAGGTTAGTACTCGCCTAGTACAATGTTTACGGAGTTGGAGTGTTTTACGTTATGTCTCGACTCTGTAAACTCCTGTTTACGGAGTCAGGACATAGAACCCTAGCCCCGCCTTTCTAGGTAGTCAGGAAATGTAATGACTTTCATTCCTCGACTTTTACAGGGTTTCTTTTTGATGTTGCTCAATGAATTTGCTTCAGCGATCTCCTAGAGTAGACTCTTCACTTTAGTTCTCTTCTTCCTTATTACAACTTATGCACGGAATATATTTCCTGAAGTCCCTCAGGCTCGTCTGTCTCTCCTGCTTCAATTCCCACCCTCTTGCCCCGTTGCTACTCATTTTTAATATTTTCGCTTTGTGTACACTGTAGATTCCTCTTAATATTTTAAACGTTACCATATCGTGTGTGTGTGTGGTTTTGAGTGGCTTGGTGTGTACGTAACCATATATTTACATCCCCTGAAAGTTTCCACCTCTCCACAGGTCGCCGTGATGACCCCGACGGACTCCGGCCGCGCCTACGCCACCGTCCATGGCTTCAGGTGAATGCCACAAGTGCTTCTCGTGTTTAACCAAACTTATAAAATAGACATGAATCGGGTAGAAGACAACATTAGGTGAAAGTGCAGGCGCTACGGGTGTGAACTAGTAGAGCACGCCGCTGGGTACACGTTGGGTACAGCATCTTGTTGGGAAAGGGCATCCCATTGGGTAGAGCATATCGTTTGTTTGAGCATCCTGTTGGGTAGAACATCCCGCTTGATAATGCAGGTATAAACAGGTGTGAAGTAGGCAGAATACAGCGTTTCGAATGCATTCATTACTTCATCCTGCTAATCAATTCATAATTAATCGCCTCTTTAAACGAGCAAGTTAACAAAGACCGAGCTAACCGCCTCGTTCTTCTCCCTGCAGGTTCGACACGAGCTTGGCAGGCAAGAACCTGGGGTGTCTGCTCAGCAACTGCATGTACTACAACCCGCTCATCATACAGAACTCCTCGACTGTGATACCCATGATCCACGAGTCCCAGACGGACACCCTCAGCACCAACCTCATGTACATCACCAACACAGGTTAGCCCTAGTTAACCTAGACAGGTAACGCGAGTGATGTTTGTGTGTGTGCGCAACCCGTCCTCTTAAAAATAACGTCACTTTTCGCTCGTATGCGCCGCGCTATGGCCAAACTTGGACGTAATATGAAATGAATTCGACTCACAAAAGTGACTCACTGTTCCGTTTTCTGTTTAAGTCGTCCGGCTTACTCGGCCAGCTTAGAAAAGGATTCTTTCCATTAACGTTTTTCATACCGTTTTGAAACTTTGAGAATTTCCTGCCCACCTAACCCATCAGAAGACCCTTAACTTACTGTTGTTGGAAAAAAAAATCCCAAATTTATATTAATTTTTTTCATTTTCATATGTCCATATTCGGCCATACGGGCAAACGGCCAAAAGCGACGTTCTTTTTAAGAGGACAGGTTGTACACGTGATCTTCTCACTGGGCTGAGACAGACGCCCTCGGTCCCAACCATCTTCTTGAGGTTATCTTGAGATGATTTCGGGGCTTTTTTTAGTGTCCCCGCGGCCCGGTCCTCGACCAGACCTCCACCCCCAGGAAGCAGCCCGTGACAGCTGGCTAACACCCAGGTACCTATTTTACTGCTAGGTAACAGGGGCATAGGGTGAAAGAAACTCTGCCCATTGTTTCTCGCCGGCGCCTGGGATCGAACCCAGGACCACAGGATCACAAGTCCAGCGTGCTGTCCGCTCGGCCGACCGGCTCCCCGTGTGTACAATGCCTACACTGATATGCTTCCACATGGTTACTGAGTAATCATTTGTGTAAATACTTCACTGACATAGGTAGTCCCATGAATGGTACACGTGAACAATGTGGCAATCGTCCCATAAGGCTTCTCATGAACAACAGTTACTTCCTCTTCTGGTTACTAATATTTTAATACTCTGATAATCACTTGAATAAACCAAAACAGAGCCACTGGCAAAATGAGATCAGGTAAAATATCAATATTGAAAACGTATACATATAAGAAAAACACTAAAACCTCAACCATACAAGTAATGAAGCAACACATGTGTTTCTGCACAGAGCTCACCTACATGTATCACACGTATCAAGTCCAGGACGACCAGATGTGGTTTGAGGCAGACATCTGGGTGGCGGACCACCCCAACGCCACCACCGGTAGCATCATCAACATCAACTTTGCTGTCAAGGTAAGAGCAGGCAGGCAGGGAGCCAGGCAGGGAGCCAGGCAGGCAGGCAGGCAGGCAGGCAGGCAGGGAGCCTGGCAGGCAGGCAGGCAGGCAGGCAGGGAGCCTGGCAGGCAGGCAGGCAGGCAGGCAGGCAGGGAGCCTGGCAGGCAGGCAGCCAGGCAGGGAGCCAGGCAGGCAGGGAGCCAGGCAGGCAGGCAGCCAGCCAGGCAGGCAGCCAGCCAGGCAGCCAGCCAGCCAGGCAGCCAGCCAGGGAGAGGTCGACCGTACGTCTCAAATTGACATAATGTCAATTGTGGTTAGATTAGGTTATTAAAAAATACATTAAAGACATTAAACAAGAAATAAGACATTATGCCAAATTGACAATGTGCTTAATGGCCTTAATTATTTAGATGTTTGACATCTTGGTGTCCTACAGGAAGATAGTGGTCTTGTCTGTCTCTTATTCAATCACGCTCAATCTCCGTAAGCAGGAAAATTCTATTTGATATTGAGACGATTATATTTATAAAAAAATCATTCGGCAGTAATATTTCCATATCAGTATCATGTATGTCGTGAACATGCTTCCTCTCGTTCTTATCTCGACCATTGTTTATATTTTTACCTCATTTAGCCAATCTAAATTCTCGTATTTCCCCAATGACTCTTATACAGATTCTCTAGATTTTTCTAAAAATTTTCTTCAATGTTTGGAATGATACTGATTCTTGTGGGATTCAATTCAAAATTACATGGAATTAATTTGATGCTGATTAAACCCTTTTATAATAACTGATAAAAGCTATAGTCTAAATTAATATGAAAAGTATTATAAAATTGTTACGAATGATTAAAAGCTTGTGCATAATTCTTGTTCGGTCAGATTCACACCGAGAAATATTCTAGGTTGAAAATAAGTATTTAGCTACGACTAAACCTGCTGTCGGACTGTCAGTTAATAAAGCACATTTCTGGATATTTAACAGAGGAAACTTGTTCAAGAAGAATAAAGAACACACATTTAAAATTAGGAAAATTAGGAAATAAGGAATTTTTTGTCAAGTTCATAGTCGTTAGACCAGTAGTTCTTAGTCCCAGGTCACATTCTTACCCTTGTAAACTCAGGTTTCCTCAGACATTATTCTTTCCCAATTTGGAGTTCCTCCACGAACTTACATTCCTTCCCAATAATTTCCCCTGGCTAAAATCCTTCCACTTATAGTTTAAATACCTTCCCGGGGAGCCAAGTGCCTCTCCATTGAGAATTAGTGGACTCGTAGTCTCAATTGATATCTTGATCCATATAATGGTATTAATTCTTTCCATTCCAGGCGGGGAACAAAATCTTTGTGATCGTCATTCCACTCACTCTGGATAAGACCGCAACGCAGATATTTAAGATCGTTACTGATATCTTCTTAACCGATAACACCACTACACTCTTTTCTCAAAAGTAAGAGGGCGCTGTAGTCTGTTTTTTATTCCTTAAAGTGTTTGTGAAGAAACGGATTTTCAAGGAAATGGGGATATTTTAGGGTAATGTTAAGTGATTGGAGTCAGGTTGTGTGTGTGTGTGTGTGTGTGTGTGTGTGTGTGAGAACTATTGTGTGTGCCTATGTGACTTGTAAGTTTCTGCCCATGTTTTCCTTATGTTGTCCTTCTGTGATTTTCTGTCCATCCGTTCTGTGTTGTTAGTTCCAGAATGTTACAACAGGCTTACAAAGTTGTAATATCACATTATGTTGTGATCGCGGTATTATATAAGCAATATATAATTTTTTTATGCAAAATTAGTGATTTGTTTCTATGCATTATTTTTATATTTTGAAATTGAGTAGCTATTTTGAAATTTCTTTAATATTGTTAGTGTCTCGGTGAAATTAAAGTGAATTACAGATATTTAGGCTACGAGACTTTGGTATTGGATCAGAGACAGAGCAAGAGGTAAGGGTAAATGGTGACTGATACTGACAGGACCTCTTTCAATGACATTGAAAGTTATCTTCATATCATAGTTAACTTTATTTTACTTGTCTTGGGATGATTGTGAGTGTATCTCCTCTTGGATGCTTATGCCTCTGCATCCTAATGAACACTACTTGGCATTAAAATCACCCACAGAGTAACCCATTTTTTATAATGAAAATAATAATAAAATATACAACAATTCATAAGTTCTGACCACAGAGTTGAGTTTTTTTTTTTAGTTCATTTATTATGCACCCCATACCCATCTTGTGGGCGGTAGTGGAAAGGGTTAGAGGCACATAATGGGCTCAGGGACTGAACCCCACAATTCATTTAGCTAAACAAGTTACAAACTTTAATATAAGTCGTCACATCAACAATGGGTTCGAAATCGACCTCAAGTACTAAATTAGGCAACTGACATATGTGGAGAGGCACAGAGTTAAGATATAAATTAATCCCACACTTCCAGCAGGTATATACACCTTATTCATCCCCCACTCAATAAAGAGGAGAAAAGTCATGTAGGGCAAAAATAATAATGTTTCATGCAGACGAGGAGTCACAATAACGTGGCTGAAATATGTTGACCAGACCACACACTAGAAAGTGGAATTTACGACGACGTTTCGGTCCGTCCTGGACCATTCTCAAGTAGATTGTGAATACTAATGTTTTACATGTTTCCCCCCAGTAACCAGGTGGGACTGACACTACGAGCGTACCACGTCATTAACGAGTCGACGCAGGAGGTCAACAATGCCGCTGTGAGGCTACTGAAGCCTGTGTACCTCGGGATGGTTCCTGGTGTTGATGACTGTGTTGCAAATATTACGGGAAATCTCACCAAATTGGATTATATTGATTATGATGTAAGTATTAAGAGGTTAAGTGCGTGTGTGTGTGTGTGTGTGTATTTACTATTTGTATCTACAGAATCGAGCTATTATGTTGACCAGACCACACACTAGAAGGTGAAGGGACGACGACGTTTCGGTCCGTCCTGGACCATTCTCACAATCGACTTGAGAATGGTCCAGGACGGACTGAAACGTCGTCGTCCCTTCACCTTCTAGTGTGTGGTCTGGTCAACATACTTTAGCCACGTTGGGACTCATCGCCTGCACATCGAGCTATTAGCTCTTGGACCCCGCCTTTCTTACCAATCTATTTTTCATCCATTATATCAACTACATATATTTTTCTAACACACACACATCCCCAGGAAGCAGTCCGTAGCAGCTGTCTAATTCCCAGGTACCTATTTTCTGCTAGATGAACAGGATCATTAGAAAGAAACTCTGCCCATTTGTTTCCGCCTCGGCCTGGAATCGAACCTGGGCCGTTATGACTGCGAACCCCAAGCGCTGTCCACTCAGGCTGTCCGCCAATTTTCTATATTGTCATTCTGGCTTAGATATTCCTCCTGTAAATTACCATATCTTGCCTTCCCTTCCAAGAGCTGTACAGTCATAGTGGCTGAGAGATTTCACCCTTCACGAAGTTCTCTTGCTTCTACAGTTCGACTACCTGTTCTTCACGGACATCCTGGAGATGAACTGCACGTTAACAATGGACCCCAATAGCACCATGCCCAAGGGCTTGGGAGTCGTCAACGCCACCACGCTGATGAGAATCGTCGGCTGCAGCAACACCAACCCGACCCTCATGTACTGCGGGAACACTTCCTATGTATCCTACCAGCTGAACGGCATTGGTAAGGACGCCAGACAGGACTGTGCTTCAGGCATGCTGGTCGGGGGGATTTACTGTGCGATTAAAATATATGCAATATGTTGACCAGACCACACACACTAGAAGAGACGACGACGACGACGTTTCGGTCCGTCCTGGACCATTGTCAAGTCGATTGTCCAGATTGTCGATTGGTCCAGGACGGACCGAAACGTCGTCGTCCCTTCACCTTCGTGTGTGGTCTGGTCAACATACTTCAGCTACGTTATTGTGGCTCGTCGCCTGCATATGAAATGTGTTGAAAATGGTGTCTGGGTGAGGAATATTTATTGAAATAGTGTGGGAGATGGACTAGAAACTTTGCGTGGGGTGGGATATAATGATTTAAATGGTGGAAATTAATTTAAAATTATAGGTGGGTGGAATGGGGTGTGAAGCAAGAGATGGGAGAGAAAGGTGGAAAGGAACACTGGGTGGGTTCTAGTGAGGGGTAACACTTGGGGGGGGGGGGACTAGGCAAGAGAGGGTTGTGAGTAGACTGGAGTAGACAGGTGGTAGAAAAGTGCGTTAATGGGAATGAAAGAGGAGTGTGAAGTAAAACGGGTAGAGATCCATTAGAACATGTAATGGACCTAATGAGGTGAAAACCAGGTTGGGTGGAACTAGGTTAGTAATGAGGGTGAGCAGGAGGATTGGTATGAGGTTAGGTATAAGGATGAACATGAGTGTAGGTATGAGGGCGAGTATGAGGTGGGCATGAGGGTGGGTCACTTCTCACACACGCCAGCCCTCACAGCATCTAACAACTGTCACTAACTCGACAGATTGCACAGACCCGCTGGGAGCACCTACCTTCACCGCCTGTCAGGTGACTGCGTCGTCAGCTATAGACTCCACTACGGGACCTCTTACAGCCTTCACTGGCCCAGGTGAGTGTGTGTGTGTGTGGCCCAGATGAGTATGTGTCTGACCCAGGTGAGTGTGTGTGGCCCCAGGTGAGTATGTGTCTGACCCAGGTGAGTGTGTGTCTGACCCAGGTGAGTGTGTGTGTGTGACCCCAGGTGAGTGTGTCTGACCCAGGTGAGTGTATGTATGATTTCTTCCCCAAAAAGTCTCACCTCCCCCCCCCCCCACTGTCATTCGTATATAGTCACCACAGTCAGCGAGTCCTGCCTCCCCCAGGGTGGAGTCCCCCGGTGCGCGCCGGAGCCCAGTGGGAGGAGTACATCACCCTGGACTTCCTGAGGGTGACCCGGGTCACCAGGATCACCATGCAACAGGTCGCAGGGACGCTCTCCGTCAGCACCTTCAAGTTGCAGTACTCCAGCAGCGGCCAACTCTTCGTCGACGCCTGTGATGTAAGAGTTTGGGAAAAGTCTATATGTATATGACGCTCTTATGAGTGCTTTCGTCATTATATATGACCAAAGTCTCATTCTGATTGTATTACCAATCAGAATGTGACATTCTGATTGGTAATACTGTCTTGTAATACACTGTAGTGCTAACTGTTGTAATGAAACAGATGAGAGTCTAGAAAATAAATATGCCTGTCGTCTGTGATTTTTCCGCAGGTGGTGATATCTGTGCCGACCAGCGGGGTCGTCGACCTCCCAAGTGAGTGCCGGTTCGAGTCTCGTTTTGGACGACTTATCATCCTCAGTGTCAGCAGCAGTCTGGGTGGTGCTGCTGTTCCCACTGGCACCACGCCCGTGGCTGTAAGGTACGTGTCTAATACACATATAGTATCAGACCACAGAGGAAGAATTGAAACAGGCATTTCTTTAAGTACTTTCGTATATTTAATACATCTATAGAAGGATTCTTTCTGAAGATTACTATCTTGGCGTCCCGCAGATTCAGTGACTGGTACGGGTGTTACCTGAGCAACACCTCTAGTGTCTGCCCGGGCACTCTCTCCACTATACTGTCCACCGACGCCACCAGATGGCGTCACGCCGCCTACGACGCCGCCAACGCCTTCCTCTACTTCTGCGACGTCGACCTCATCGCCAGCAACGGTCTAAAGTGCTTCTGCACTGCCGACGGTGCAACCTGGAACGGTGAGAAGCACTGATGTACCGTGTGTATTGTGCACCTGTGTTGACTGTATTGTGCACCGTTGTTGGGGTCTGGTGGCATGTTATAGGATTATCGAGGCATGTTATAGGATTATCGAGGCATGTTATAGGATTATCGAGGCATGTTATAGGATTATCGAGGCATGTTATAGGATTATCGAGGCATGTTATAGGATTATCGAGGCATGTTATAGGATTATCGAGGCATGTTATAGAATTATCGAGGCATGTTATAGAATTATCGAGGCATATTATTGGATTATCGAGGCACATTATAGGATTATCGATGCATATTATAGGATTATCGAGGCATATTATACGATTATCATTAGGCAACCCACTAATACAAAATAGGTTAATTGCAAGAATCTTATCAATCACATTTAACTTCAGGTTCTCAATTGATGCTTTACACGTTAATAGGATTAAATCATATTACCTTGAGACAATTATCAAGAGAATTATCAAGCACCATCGTGACTCTTGTCTTGGCAGCTTTACCCTCGTATATCGGGCGACTGGTCGGGTTCGACGCCGCCACTAAGATGATGTACGCCGTGGACAAGAAGGGGATGTCGATGGTAAGCAGTAGTGACTGTGTCAACTGGTCGATCGTCGCCACGGCCACGGCCGCCACCGTGAACACCACAGTCACGCCGCCCACGGCAGTGCCAGGCAAGGCTGCTGCCTCGCTTGGCACCGTTACTGTCGGAGGCACCTGGACAGGTAAATGGAAGGGTGGCGTGATCTGTCTGTCTGTCTCTCTGTCTGTCTCTCTGTCTCTGTCTCTCATAGCCTGGTTTTAATAAAATAATTGTAACATATATGCGTAAATATTCGACTATATACAAAGTGTATAACCCAATGATCAATGTTTTTCTCCATTTTAAACGTCATTCTCTCTCGCTCCAACAGCTGACTTCACCGGTCTTCTCCTGGGAGGGCAATACAAGGCCAAGTGGGCCAACTGCTGTTCATAAACGTCCCTCCTCCCCCCCCCCTTGCCCTTCACAACCCCCCCCCCCCTCACGCATCCATCACCCCCCTCCTCCCTCACACCCTCCATCACCCTACACGCCCCCCTCCATCACCCTACACGCCCCCTCACTATCACCCTACACGCCCCCCTCACTATCACCCTACACGCCCCCACCACCATCACCACCTCCCCCTTCACACCTGCCAACATTTGCCGCTTGCTAGCCAATAAAAACTAAATCAATCATGTTTTTCACTCGATAACTCCCTATCACCATACACCCTCCAGCATACACTCTGCACGCAAGACAATATACGCTCCCCCAGCATACACTTTGCAACAGGTACAAAAGAGGGCGTATATTTTAGAATATGCGCTCTCAGCCATGCACCCTTCGACGCGTGTAATCCGGTATTCATCTGTCAATGCCCCTTCGACGAAACCCCGTCCCAGGATGTGGGAAAAGGGCGAACTTCTTGATCGTCAGTGTATCAACTGTCTGTCTGATCTGATGTCAATCACTCCACCTGCGTCACCGTTTGTTTCATCTCTAGCACACCTTCTGCGTCACAGCCTGCGTCACCTTCTGCGTCACCTTCTGCGTCACAGCCTGCGTCACCTCCAGCACACCACCTGCGTCACAGTCTGCTTCACCTGCAGCACACCACCTGCGTCACAGCCTGCTTCACCTCCATCACACCACCTGCGTCACAGCCTGCTTCACCTTCTGCGTCACAGCCTGCTTCATCTCCAGCACACCACCTGCGTCACAGCCAGCTCTTTCCCCCCCCCCACAACCCACATGTTATGAAACACACATCATAAGGAAGGTAAACATATCAAAATAAAGGCTTATCACAGTACGTACCAATAGGAAACCAAATAAAAATGTTTGTTGAAAAATTCTCCCCAATGTCCTATATTTTTGATAAGCCAGAACAGTCTTTCATGCATTAAATAAGGTATAATAGATGTTTCTTTACATATAATCATGATTACTCTGGGATTTGATTCACAATACATTTTCCCAATCTGTTTGCCGAATGGAAAATCGCCCACTATACAGAAACAAATCTTATTAATGCTATTTAGAGTAGAATATAGGATTCTATGGTAACTTTAGTGACCGTACTAACATAAAGAGATTAACGTACAAAGATATGATCAATTTATTATATTGTATCAGTTATTATAGGTTTTCAGACATATTGTTTCGCCCAACCACTTGGACCGGATGGTATAGAGCGAGGGTCTCACTTCATACAGGTCGGCGTTCAATCCCCGACCGTCCAAGTGGTTGCGCACTATTCCTTCTCTCCGTCCCATCTCAGATCCTTATCCTGACCCCCTTCTAAGTGCTATATAGTTGTAATGGCTTGGCGCTTTCCACCGATAATTCCTTCCCCAAGACACATATTTCATGTACTTTACTTTCATATATTCAGTGTGTGTGATCTTTGTAACTCCTTATAGAGAGAGTTTCACTGACATTGTAAAAAGAATTATATAAATGTGTGTAATTATATAATATATATTATATTATATATATTATATATATATATTATATATAATTATATATATATATATATTATATATAATTATATAATATATATATATAATATGCACATACATGCATTTCTACTCAGCTTGGCCACCAACAACAGTGATAAAGATGTGATAAGGATGCTTTTTAATTGTTATCTTATCTCCCTATTATAGAATATATTTAATTGGGGGTTACTTGATTAGATAATTTGTTGTAGATCAAAATAAAACGTAGATAATGTACCTTGTTCTGTGAATATCCTAATGACCCAACTGCGGGATTTCCTCCTCTGTTCACCTGGAGTTGCCACGTTCAGTTGGATAATTTTTCAGACCATGAAATTCCTCTCTAGGAATGGTCTTTATTTTTTAATACTGCTCTCAAGAATGGCAACTTTATGCTCTAAGTTCTACTGAATCAGTACACGAGTCCGACCCTTATGGTGTTCCCTCGTCAGCATTGTCGAGGTTCTCTCTTGGTCAACTATACTGATCCTTCCCAAGATGCAACCAACAACAGCCGTTCTACTATTAGGTAAGTAGAGGCATCAGGTGTAAGAAGCCTTCTCCAAACGTCTCCTCCTGTGGAGCTGTGAGTCATCTGCGATGATCACTGGTTACAGGTCAACTGGGCTACATGGTACTTACCAAATCTAAATATCTTACAAAAATCATGACTTTGTTTACATATATTAAGCAGTTTATGAGCTCCGAAACGCTACAGATTTTAAACAATAATACCCTTGGACTATGGTTGTAATGGCACGTTTTTCTAAACCACCGATTTCTTCCGTAAAAAACGGTAAAACCCAGAAAGAGGAACCTAAACTATTCTAACCCGATTCATTGATGAAGATTAAGCCATCCAATCTAACCTAATTTAACCTAACCTTCCTATCCTGATGTAGACCCAAAGGTCTCATTGACTTTGGCTGAAACGCATGTGGTTACAGGCGTTCCTAACATATACACCGCCTCCCCACCAATACATCGTCCTCCGCAAACAAATCGAACTCTTGCAGAACGGCCGGGGTTTGGGGGACGTCCCTGGCTGTCCGCCAAGCATTAATCTTTCCACCAGCCGCATGTAACCCATAACTATTGGCGGAGCCGACGTTCACGGGGTGGTGGTACTGTTCCGAACCTTAATGGAATCTGACCCATATATCAATCAGGTCAACCCATGTGTTGCGTTTCCAAAAGGGTCGCCCATGTTAGAATCGGTGAACGCCCTAGTAATATTGTTGAAAACATCTTAATAACTTATTAAACCAAAGGTCTTTTTATGTCAGAAGAACGGCAGAAACTGGATCTATATATGAAAACTCTTTCAGGACAAAATTTAAAGTAAAACTAAAGATATTTGTAGTTGTATAAAAGTTGCATTTTTCATCGGTCGTAGAGCCGGAAATCCGCAATATTCATCTCAGAACAATGCTTATTTCACGCAGAATCGTTAATAAACGTAAGATTTTTATACGTCTCAAGAAAGATAGAAACATAATCTTCATTTTAAATGCCTTACCATGGGCATATTTGTATTTAAAGCGAAGATACGTGTATTTTTCTAATCGGCGAGCTCCGATCCCGCACAGATCGAGCAACGGAGTAACTCTCTCTCAGAACAATGCTTATTTCACGTAAATTCGTTAATAAACGCAAATGTTTTTATATGTGTTGAGAAAGATAGAAATATAAGCTTCATTTTAAATACTTTACCATAGATATATATAAAGTTCTAATGAAGATACATGTGTTTTAATAATCGCCGAGCTCCGACCCCGCACAGACTGATCGACAGAGCAACTCTCTCTCAGAACAATGCTTATTTCACGTAAATTCATTAATAAACACATATGTTTTATATGTCTCAAGAAAGATAGAAATATAAGCTTCATTTTAAATACTTTAACATAGATATATATAAAGCTCAAGTGAAGATACATACGTTTTTATAGTGGCATTCAGTAGCTTGTCGGTCATGGAATGCAGAAGCCTACGCACTTGCCAATATAGTGTGTAATTAACAAAGATACGCTTATAAAGCTTAAAATATTATATGCCTTCAGAAAGACAGAGATATGCTCGTTATTGTGAGTGCACCAAAGGAAATATATCTTGTTGGAGGACAAAGATATATCAATTCTAAAATAAGTTTCGACTCTCGCTCGGGCGAGAGATAGCGCGACTCTCGCCCCATCTATTGGAGATTCTGTTCACCTAATGACCCAAAGCTACTCAAAGCCTCCTAGCATTACTTAAATAATGAAGAAATATGGTATATTTATTCACTATAATGTTGGTGCTTAATGCAGAACACGAGAAAACATATATTTACTATAAAATAATATACTTCCATTATGAAATAAGTAAATATGTGGACTCATAGGAAGTCAACGGTCCAGGTGTCAATGTTGTGGAGCGACTTATCCAAGATATATTGTTGTCTGGAAAGTGTTTGTTGGCATATCAACCTTCTGTACACAGTGATCCAGTCGTCTCACTTCTCTCCTTAAATGATCGCAAATTTAGTTTATTATATTAACAAGTAGAATACGTATTTCTAATAATATCTAACATAACTAGCCAGAAAATATTTAAGACTTATTGAAAAATACATGTCTGGAAGTTAAATCGACTTCATAGAACAATAGTGTTGGTCTATACTAATCGTTATTCGTTAGTATGCGTTCGCTACTTAAAACATTTACTGTACTGATGTAAAATCTCCCATGTCTCTTTGCACATGGAACACCGAACCTTACACACTCTCTGATATATTGTTTAATTAATAGAGATTCACTAATAAAGCTTATAATTGTATATGTTATCAAAAAGGCATAGATAAAGTCGTTCTTACGTTTTAGTCACAGAGATTAGATATTAGTAAAGTTCATTTTATTCAGGAAAGTACATAAATAGTCGATTTACAAACATAATATTGGATTTATAGATAGAGCTAGTACATACTATACCTAAAGCCACTAATGAGAATTCCCAGAGATACTTGTAACCGAGTCTAAGCCGAGCAGTAGTAACATCTAGAAGTCTGCTGATTTTATTGGATGACTATTACAAAGTGTAGATAAAAACTAGCTCCAAGTTCACCTAATATCCTCATCTCACAGGATAGTTAGTCATACATGGAACCAGCTGAAAACCTGAGATGCGAAGCAGATCTATTAGCCTCCACTAGCAAAATCTGGGTACAGCATAATAATATCTTACATTATTCGTGAGTGTATGAAGTAGTTACAGAGCTCGAAGTACCTCATACCATTTGGTCTGATATCTTTGATAACAGGACAAGCACAGGAAAAGTGATTCAGAAAACATACGGAAGGATATGATACAAATGGTTTAATAATAGTTACTAAGTGTGTATATTTAAAAGGCCACTAACAGATCATGGGGGACCTTCGACAAGCCGCTGGCTTCGTGTCCTCATCGAGGCCACTAGATACATAGTGGTCCTCAGGTAAATTCAGCTAATTACATTTCCTAACCTTTAAGACCAGATACGACAAATAATTCGAACGTGCAGATAGTTAAATTATAACACAACAAGGCTATTAGACGGGACATAAAGAACTAGACCTCACCCCTTTGACACTGACTGTCAAGTGCTGACAGTCAAGTGCTGACAGGCAAGTGCTGACAGTCAAGTGCTGACAGTCAAGTGCTGACAGTCAAGTACTGACAGTCAAGTACTGACAGCTAGCAAGTGCTGACAGGAAAGTGCTGACAGGCAAGTACTGACAGCCAATTTCACAAATTAAGTGTTATCAGGCAAGATGGAACTATTTCAACGTCAACTTTATTTGCTGATGAATGCAAAATATAATAACGTTTTTTTTAAGATTTAATGACTCCATTAACACAAATTTTTAAAACAAAATAATGAAAATTCATAGAATATTGTGTTATAACATAAAATAATTTAATTAAATGTTTACTGCATCAATGAATGTAGAATACAAACTAAAGAGACAACAGAGGACGCAGACCAACAAGTACTGTAGCTGCCCCTTTCCCTCAAACAACAACACTAACCGCTAACTTCTTGAATAACTTGGTTTTGAATAACATTCAAGACCATATTACCCACTACAAACAATTATTAGCAGCAAATATGCTACACGACCTTATTTCTGCGGTTAAGGGGATTGGAGGAGACATGTTTGTGGGGAAGGAAGACTTCGGTTTTGAGGTGAGCTGTTAACTAGTAATAATCTGTATGTTTAGGCTATGAAATGGACCCATTGTGGGTGGTTATGAATCGTCCTCATATTGCAGCTCATTGTCCTCGGAACATCCAAGTGTTCTGTATACTGATTGGTATTTAACTTTTGCGGAAAAATAAATGATTAAGTTAACAATTTCTCCTGGCAGTTATCCCAAATTGTAAAGAATTTTAGCACCAGGCAGGGTATCCAGAAATTACTCATAACTAGGGAGAATTAGACAGTAAATTCAAAATATAGGGTTGAAAAATGTCAAGACTGGTAATTCTTTGTGTGTGTGTGTGTGTGTATTCGCCTAGTTGTGCTTGCAGGGGTTGAGCTCTGCTCTTTCGGCCCGCCTCTCAACTATCGATCAATCAATTGTTACTAACTAATTTTTTATTTATTTTTTTTTTTACACACACACACACACACACACACGCCCAGGAAGCAGCCCGTAACAGCTGTATAACTCCCAGGTACCCGTTTACTGCTAGGTAACAGGGACATCAGGGTAAAAGAAACTCTGCCCATTGTTTCTCGCCAGCGCCGGGAATTGAACCCCGGACCACAGGATTACTTGTCTGGCATACTGTCCACTCGGCCACTGGCCCCTGTATGTGAGTTCCTCGTATAAGTTTGATGTGGGAGGCTACGTGTCGCTGGCTATGTTTGATGTGGGAGATGATGGGTTGGTGACAGACACCTGTGGGTTATCATCAGTATCACTAGCTGCTGTAGGAATCGATGGTTTTGGGTCAGATTTTTGCTTGAAGATTGTTGAGGCAATTGATAGCAACTTTTTGAGAGATAATTGCTGGGCTGGAGACATTGTCTGGAAATATATTCTCAAAGTACTTTGCACAACTGTTCTCTTCTTTAACAGGTAAATTTGCTTATAGGGTGCAAGGCCATTAAATGTAATTTTGAAGCATTTTGATATCTCGGCATCATCTTGCTTTTCCAAAATTGCCAAGGCATCTTCTACCAACTTAAATTCCTCTGCTAGTTTCTTGGCTGTGAATCGTTTTTCTCGGGGTGTCTCGGCAACCAACTCCTCTACAAAAGCTTCATCTTCAGTCCTTACTGTCTCCAACCCTGTAAGATCTTCATTTGTGAGTGTCTCTGAATTAGAGTTCAAAAACTCTTCGACATCAACCTCAAGGTTTGGATTCCTTGCAGGAAATGTGCAAGGTTAATCTCGGTGAAGGTAAAAGGAAATGTGCCAAACCATTTATGTCCCACCTGGGAATTGAACCTGGGATTCCCGATCTCGAGTCGAGAATGAAGTTATCTGCCACTGAGTAAAATATGTTAATTAACTATTTATGGAAAGAGGAAATTGATAACGAAACGAGTGTAGCCTTGTGAAGGAATATGGCATTTGTACCAGCACGGTTTTTGATGCAGTACTGTACAGTATATAGCTCATGCAAATTCCTTTAGTTTGGAACACCTCACTTGAACACTGAAAGGTTGCAAGGGTGCTGGAGGTTCAATTAAGGAAAGTGGCGTTTGATTTCCAATGGTCCAAATAGTTGTGCTTTATTCCTTCACTCTGCCACTTTATCCCAGCTCTTATTCTATCCTTATATCTATTCCATGTGCTATAGTCATCCTAGCTTAGCTTTTTCTCAACTTTTGAAAGGAAAGAAAATTATAAGTAAATATCATGTCTTTTATTATACATTTCTCTATGATGTGTATTTGATTTACATTGCTAACATATTAGAAATAGGTATTTGTGATAAAGATCCTGATGTGTAAATGTATGTTTTGTTTATTAACAAATTTTTTTGCTGAAAATGTTCATGTCCATATTAACATTAGATAGAACAGTATGGCTGATGAAATCAAAGGTGGTCGGTCCCACTTAGTCCATTTGAGTGAGAGTACATGTTATTTAATACCTCCAGCCTCTTTGTTTTTTAGGTTCAGGAGCTATTTAGTAGTGTATCTGCATAGTTTTAATTTATACTAGTATGCTTTTTTATATATAGTCACAGTATAACTGTTAAATATTTTTTAGGTCTCAAATATGTGCAGTACTGTTTATATACAGTATGTAATGACACTGAAGTCGAATTAAACTTCCATGTTTGCAGGTATCAAATGATCTGGGGTTTCTTCATCCAAGTGAATTTGCTATCATCCATCAGATCCTAGACATTGGAACCCACTACAAGAAGATTACAAACTTTTGTAACATTTATGACATTGTCAGAGTTAATACAGGTTAGTGTGAAGTAGGTTACTTGTACTTTCATTGCTTAAGTACATTTTTTTGTCGCGTTATTGTTTGCAAGCCTTGGGCAACGGCAAAGATTAAATTACCAATTTAATATTATTAATGTAAATTTAGATTTTTTAAATTTCAACCTTTGTCCAAAAAGTTTTTTTGTTAACACAGAAAAAGCTATATTATCTAGCATCTAAGAGTACATAGATAATGCTGGGTACAAGAATATTCCCAATAAAAAGCCAGCAGTATCCTTTGTGCAGTGTTCATATGAGACCTGAAGGTTGTTTAAACATACATTATATAAATATAATTGTTCAGTAATTATATTTATTATTACTATATTTGTATTTTAGAATTCAATGTCCTCTGTTATCTGACCCATTTCCCAGGCTAGACTTACTTTTCGGATAGAGCAAACTCGTTTCCCATTTCCTATTATTTGCTTTCTCTTTTCACTTGAAAAATTCCATCAGTTCAGTATTGCCTGAATGGAATAGCTCAGAAATTGGGATTTGTTGGTACTAGTGTGTGTGTGTGTGTGTTTATGTAAATATAATGGTCCTCTCTATGCAGAATACTTAGATTCTTCCATTCCCTTCTTTGTATTACTGATTTTCCTGTTTGCACAGCTTTCTCTGTCAGAATGTGAGGAGACTTCAGACACGGTACTGCTACATGTTGGAAGGTGGCTTTGGCCAGGTGGGCCATTTGGCACCTAGGCACTACCTGGTGGTCCTGGATTGTTTAAGTACCTCCTGAAGTCACGCCAGGCTGGAAGGAGCTCTACTCCAGTACTTCACTATTACTAGTAAAACTGACTAGTGTGTTTAAAGAAATCCCTGTTTGCCTTTGGAAACATCCTTGTGCCCTACTTGTGAAAAAGGGCTTTTCACATTATCTCAAGGTTTTATTTTCTCAGATAAAATTCATCGCTGTGGATTATACCTGTCATCACTTGCCACGGCTCTTCGTAAAACAGCACGAACCTTTCAAACTACAGTGGTAGAGCTGGAGTACAGACTGCTGAGTGATCCTCACCTTCCACTCAGTGAACTGCTACTTACTCTCACACCTACAGCTCCATTATTAGCTGCTCTTGCCTCATTGGTAACTCAGGCGAGTAATTTTATTATTTTGTTCCATTTAATGCAGTTCTCTCTCCTTGGGGTGGTTAATTCATGTCCAGGAGCACATGGAGCTCTTTTCCATTATATTTTTTATAACCCTGTTCATCTAGCAGTGCAGTTAAATTTGTTCTTTTAAAATGGTAGACGAAAACTTTAAGGTTTTTCTTTTTCTTTTATATTCATTATGTATATGTAATAATAATTTTTATGTTGAGAGTGTAAATTTGTAGAAACATTTGTTTGTTATAAGAAATCTACTTATAACAACTACTAGAAATCTGGTGATAAATAGCATTAGTTTAAAAAAATTACAAGTGAAACTAGATCATATCCAGAACAATGCAATCTGAATTTTTTGTAAGTGCCATTGTATCCCTAAAATTACATGTGCAGAACACCACTACACAAGTGGTGTACAAAGGTCCTTCATTTATCTACATTGCAAAGGTTGATGATAGACATAAAATATGTTTATTTATTCTTTCCAGATTGAAGATAAAAATGTTCATGGATGCATGATTCTTGAGGTTCTTCACAAGCACACAGCGAATTCTGTGGCACATGTAAAGCACGTTCTGATGCGGTGAGCAGTAAATTTCAATTTTGGATTGTCATTTTATTATCATTACACTGTTTCCAACTTAGAGAGGGGTGAAATACAGTGTTGAGTGTAATGAAATATCCCTCTCCGGGTGGCATTTCGGCTTTCCTTGGCTCATGTCGCTAGCATATTATGAACATTACGGGATATGCCAGACTCCTGTATCATGTGATAGTGATTATTTTATCTTGTGTGATAATAAAAGCCACTAGATATATTTGTTAAATTTTTGTAGATAAAGATCCTCTATCATTCCTTTAAGTTACATATTGAAACTAGGATAAATACCAATTTTTGTTTTGATTAGAATATATTGAATATTCATAACAAGTAGTTTACCAGCACTTGCATTTCAGGATTGAGCAGGAAGTTCACTCCGTGCTGTTTGACCAGCTGACACATTGGCTCTTGTACGGACTGTTGCTTGACCCACATCAAGAGCTTTTTATACACACTGCAACTTGTCATGAATCTCTTGGTGAGCTACAGGATATGGATGCTCTTGTAAGTCAATTGCCACATACTTTGTCAATAATCTCTTCCTAATTTAAAAAATTTTAATTGATGTTTTATAGATACAGTATTCTGTAACCTTATTTATTTTACAGTATATACAATAATTATAGATAATGATTGATGCGAAGGGTCTTACTGACGAGGTCAAAGACTGTACAGGTGATGTGGTAAATGCAGTTGAATCACAGCCAAAAAATCCTGGGCTTGAATCTTATGGTGGGGGCAAGCATTTGGGCAAGGTTCCATTGCACTGGAGGCCATTGTTCACCTAGCATTAAATAGATGCCCAGGAGTTTGACAATTGCTATGGGCTGCATCCTGGGACGATCAGTAATTGACTGACAGGGACCTTAATAAGCCTCAAAAGCTTCCCATTTCAAACTATGGGTATCTAAACCATAATAAAAACCTTAATGGGCTGCCACACTTGATTTGACCTCCAGGCGGTCCTGTTGACACACTTGCTAGTCAAGCGTGCTGTAACAAGATGGGTGTACGAGGGTGAGATGTAGAGCTCGTGTGGTTAGAGATAGACAACCAGCATCTTGGAAGGGCAGAGTGGAATACTAGCCTCTCTGGTCAGTTTTTATTATAGATATAGCTCTCTAGCACCTTTCCTCACTTGGGCTGCCTCATGAATACTAGTGTACTGATGTGATTCTTTGATTATATGTTGGTTTTGTTGACCCTTCTTTTCTGGGTGGTTGACAAGAATTTCTTCTGCATGATTGCCTGTGATTCTTGTCTAGAATACACGGCAGACTTTGCCTTCGGTGCATCTAAATGGTGTAGTCCAGGAAGGTACTTAATCAAATCCATATTTATTTTGAAATGTCTTGATAATTAATGTACATAATTCTTAATTATGTATCAACAGAGCCTTGAAGGATTTGATAGTAGTTCTACACTGAATCCAGAATGCAAGTTAAGATTGGAGATGCTACCCAGTCATATACCCATCTCTGTTGCTGAAAGGATTCTTTTCATTGGGGAGGCCATCCTTGTGTTTGAAAGAGAGGCAAGAAAAGATTATGGTAAGCCATTTTTGTTTTATAAAGATATATGCAAATGTAAAGCATTTATTGTTGCAAGAGTCATTTTCTGGGCATGCAAATATCATCCATGTTTTAGCGTATTGATTCTTGAGTAAAAAAGAAATTCTGTATAATTTGATTTGTCTGGAAAAAGGATCTGCAGGTAATTTGTGTGTCCACTTCCAGAGTTATCCTCAGTGCGAGAGATCTAGCTTTCCCACCAACTTTTCTTGGCCACTAGGTTTCATAAAGTGGCTTTTGCACATGTAGAGTATCTTGAGTTGATTTCGGGGCTTTTTTAGTGTCCCTGCAGCCCGGTCCTTGACCAGGCCTCCACCCCCCAGGAAACAGCCCATGACAGCTGACTAACTCCCAGGTACCTATTTTACTGCTAGGTAACAGGGGCATAGGGTGAAGAAACTCTTCCTATCGTTTCTCGCTGGCACCCGGGATCGAACCCAGGACCACAGGATCACAAGTCCAGTTTGCTGTCCGCTCGGCCGACCAGCTCCCTAGTAACCCAGCATTCTTTCCTTTCTTATTCTCAATTGTCTTGAAGGGCTCCATCCCTTTAGGCTCTGTCATATCTTTATTAGAAACTATGTGTAGAGTTTCACTTTACATACTTCACCCTACAGTATATCATTTCACTCCTTAATGCAGAAAAAATAATTTGTACTATCCATGTGGCTCACTTGGGTACTTAATTTCCATCTGTCATATTTGTCATCAATCACTTGCCAAATAGTATGCTATCTAGTCTACTATTATCCCTAAATATTTTGTATGTGGTGATCATGTTTTCCCTTTTGTTCTATGTCTAGAGATGTCAGATTTAATTCCTTGAGTCATGCCATATAATATACACCTTTTATGCTTTTCACCTCGAACTCTACTAATATTTTGTTGGATTTAGGTGCTGCAGACACTGCATCATTGTCACCACATAGTGGTCAAGTGTTGAAGAGCCGAGAAGAGGAATTTAAAGGTCTAATAGAAGCGCTGGGACAGGAATCAACATTCTCCATCTTACAGTTCAGTCAAGTCATTGAAACCATAAGGCATTGTGTCTCTCAGGTAGGTAATAAACAGTAATTATTTTGTTTGAACATTTCTATTGGCAGTAAATATTGATTTCATCTAGGAATAAATTGCACAAATCAAAATAGTTGATCAGTTTGATTCTTGAATTAATAAAAACAAAAAGCTAATGTAAATAAATCTGGATTAAATCATCATTTGGGAAACTTTTAAAGTGTACACATCTTGTCGACTTGTTTTGCCAAATGGTGGTGAAAGGAGGGACAAGTTGTGTGGTATTTTGATTGGGATTGTAGAAATTTGTTTGGTATTTACCAAACATTTCTCTCAAGTGCTTTTAGTTTTTATGTGCCCCCCCCCCCCTCTTGGTCTTTTTGGCAGGGTTTTACCCATGTATTGGTGTCTTGTGACACCCTTGGCATCCCCACCTCTGAGTGGGCAAGATTCTGGTCCCTACGCCTCAGTAGGTTATCAGAGTTTTAGATGCATGGTGAGATATTGGCTCTGGAGTACCAGTGTGTAAACTCTGAAAAGCCTCTGAGAGGACCCCAGAATGGGAATATCATTAAACTCGATATCTAATTTTTAATGTGTAAATGTCCATGTAATTTTGTTTTGTCTTGTGTTGTAAATAAAAATTATGCAGAAGAATTGCACTCCCAGCACACATTACCCCTAAGGTGAACTTGGGTTTGAACAGGACAGTAGAGTACTGTATTTTTAGTTTGTTTTTTAATGTAAAATAATTTGTATGTGTTCAGTTTTATTTTTGTGCACTAATAATTTTTTAAAAGAGTTACTTTATCATACAGTGAGCATAAAAAAGTTTGCATTGTTATTTATAGTCACCTTGCAAGCTCTTTAGAGGCTGACTAAGTTTAGTTTGGGTTTTTTCTTGACACATTTCTGAGCAGGCATTTCATGATCAATATTCGGTATAGTGATTCAGTCTTTTGTGTGCCACTGAATATAGCTTTCTGCTTCAGCTGTATTTCAGGAGGGTTCCTTTTTAGGTGGTGTTTGATACTGACTGAATGTCTTAGAGATATCTTTCCTGAAGTTCAATGTGGTTTGGCTCCTTTTTAAGTTCTACTGCCCTGGTACTGGGCATACATTGTCAAACACAGACACAATGATAGGGCTTGTGTCATATTTCTTCCCTGTGTTTATGCACTGACACTTCCTATTATGGGTTTTGTGGTTTTCTTTTTGTTTAACCACTGGCCTTCTTGATCAATCCAGATCTTTGGTTTGGAACACATGCCTCTTGTGACTGGGCTCCACCTCTTGCTTTGTCCTAGGGTTAGTGGGGTTTCCCTTTCAGAGCAGGAGAGATTTCTGAAACGGTGGAATTACAGAAAATGTGTATGACTTGCATAGACACGATAAAGCACTTAAATTATTGGGATCATCTCGGCACTTTCAAAAAGTACTAGAGAAAGGAGGCAAGAGAGGTATTGCATAATGTATACATGGGAGATTGTAGAAGGCCAGGTTCCAAATTTATATAGTAAAATAACCACATACTAGAGTGCACAAGATGGTTGGGATGAAAGGGTAGAGGTGCCATATGCCCAATTCGAGAATGTTGCATGAACATCAAGGTACACAGGTATTCAATACCCTCCGAGCAGGCTACCTCAGCTCCTTGTCCTTGGCTTCCCAGCTTGGCGCCTTCTTTTGATAATTACTTGCCTGTAGAATGCTGGTTTTTGTTCATCCAACATGAATTGAATCTTTTGATTTTGTTTGTATTTATTATAAATTATTCTTTATTTTCTTACAAGGAACTCTGGATATTAGTAATGGAAGCAGGATTGGTAGCAGAATTAGGCGACTTGAAAGCAGTCTTCCTTCTGGGCCGAGGAGAGCTGTATCAGACGCTCATTCCATCGATCACACCATTCCTTCTTAATAGTTCGGCCAATGCCAGTGAGTATTGCTGCTATGGCTCTCTCTCCATTGAAGTCTTAACTATATTGTTTTGGATCCTTCCCTGCTTTTTAGATTTTCCCCAATTTTGTTTTGTTTTTGTTTTTATATTATTAAACATTTACATATATACATACACATGCATTATATAAGATATGCTTATTAAAAAAAAGTTAAACATAACTTTTATCATTAATAGTCATAAAATCATGATTTTGTGATGTTAGGAGCTATAAATAACGGCATGAGTGTGTGAGAGTCAGGTGTCTGGATACCATAAATGGGCAAGTTTTGGTGCCTATTTCAAAAGACCTTGTTAATTATCTATAATGCAAGTGCAATGTAATAAATTATATTTTTGTTAAATTTAACTATGATTTTCATAAGGATACTTCACTGAAGTGTAGAAAATTATAATGTTATGATATTTAATCTACCAGGCTTGTTTTAAATATGTTTCATGTTTCAGTACATTTTTCTTTGAGCATTTTTAATGGGTTCCTGGTATTTTTATGGTTTTATTCTATGCACTGTTGCAGGTGTTATTGTTTTTTCTGCCTCCGATGTCTGATAACTGGCAACTGTCTTCATATGAGAGACTTTACCCTAATGTCAAAATAATAGGAATCTGTTTAAATTAGCATTGTCACTGACTGCTGGCAACTTTACTCTAGCCTGATCAAAGGATACCTGATCAACCAGGCTGTGACTCGTACGTCAGGCTGCGAGCAGCCGCGTCTAACAGCCTGGTTGATCAGTCCAGCAACCAGGAGGCCTGGTCGACGTCCGGGCCGCGGGGACACTAAGCCCCGGAAGCACCTCAAGGTAACCTCAAGGTAGCCTTGAAATATTTGTCTAAGGACATTGTACATGTATTTCATAAACCTCCAGGCCGTGCACTTGCAGTTGACAGCTGTTAGAATGTAGCATATAAATTAGCGCATTATACGTTAATATTGTAGGTTGGATCGGTGTAAGCTGTGCCAAGGCTGTAGGATGACTTTATAGGCACCAACTAAAGTGATTTAGAAGAATATTTTGGATTTCCTGTTTTATTCTTCCTCAACCACAATATTGAATTTCATTAGTGGTTTATAGGCACAGTATCTTCTTGTTTAACATATCAAAATTGACTAAAAGGGGATATATTTTAGTCAATAAGTTACAATAACATGGCTGAAAATTAAACGCCCAATCCACGCTTCAGAAAATAATGTAGCAACTTTTTGGTCCATCCTGGATCATTGTTACGCCATGTGACTTGGTTTGATTAAAAATACTGTACTGAAACATATTCCTATTTACCTGAATATTTAGAATATTTTGTAACTTTGCAGATTTTGATGGATTGTTCCAGTTAGCAGGACGACAGGTGTTACTGGAAGAGGGGATGCTGGAAAAGTTTACGCTTTCTCTGAAACCTCAGCCTGCTGTAACCTCCATTCAGACCAAAGCCCAATCAGGTGGGAAAAAATTCACATATAAACACCGAACCAACACTTGTGAAAATAAAGGAAATTATGACGTTTTGGTTCATTTTAGTTGCATGAGAGAAAGAGAGAGAGATGCATAATGTCCTTTTCACTCGCTGAGAGATGAGGTCAGCACTCGAGTGGATGTGCCGTCAGCAGGTAGCTCATCCCCTGGGCATGATATGCTATGATTAGCATTTTTCTAAACGGTTGCTGACCTTTCTTCAGTGAATGAATAGGGAGTTAGGATTAGATGCATTTACTGTGGTTTGGCTACAGTGGCTAGGTGCAGCCTGTGAGTGTGTATATTCGTATCCTGGCCTGATGCTGTGTTATTTTGCTGCTTAATATTTAAAGTTACTTCTCCATGAGCCTAGTAATTAGCACAATTTATTTAGAGCAACTGCATTATTTTCTAATTAAAATAAAGGGGTGCTTGGACCCATCACCATTTTATCGATTGCAGCCCGACTATAAATGGCAGTGAAATCTTGAATAAAGATTTAGATAATCTAGTTTGAAGAAATGTGAAATGCTAATGATAAATATAATTGGAAAAAGTCTCTGTATTGGTTACGTATATTGTACAGTATAAGCAGCAGTGCATTGAAGTCTAATTCATTGACGTCACCTCCCAGATAAAAGTTGGCGAAGTCTAAAGCTAGATTATCATGCCAAGTGGCCACTACATAAGCTGTTGACTCCAGGAGCACAAGACAAGTATAATGCCATTTTCTCATTTCTGTTGGATGTTCGTAGAGCTCAGTACCGCCTGCAACAGTTGTGGATCACACAGATGCGGACCAAATTCCATAGGTAAGTTTGTATAAAAATTCTTATTTACTAGTGATTGTTTCATGGCTCTTGTTTAATGTTATAATATCGACACAGAATTGTCACAATTGTGATGGGGCCAATACTTCACAACAAAACAGAGCTTCATGTCCTTGTAAATTTGCAAGTGAAGCAGAAATTGTTTGGTGTAAACAGTCTTATGTATTTCAAATTAAACATGTAGATTACCATTTTGTTTTCCCCAACTTTTCTGGGCTGGCCCGAGTGGCTCTTTTTGGCTTGTTGCACAGGTACTGTCGGCCACAATCAATACGTTTTGCTCCTCGAAATGTGTCTCGATTCCGAGAGCAATTGGCAATAACTCTCGGAGACGGGACACCATGTGGGGATTATAGATTGGTTGACTATCAAGGTGAACTTCTCTAAAAGTTGATAGGTCACAAAGCATTCAACAGTCTTTTGTGAAATGGTACATGTAGAGTACTGCAAACAAATCATTGTAACAATTATTTCAATGCCAGAGTTCCCACTGTCACCAGGCAGTGGTGACCTGGGTTACACAGGGCTTTAGTCAAGCATCCACCTCCTTCATGCCTTCAAAGCATGGCTTTTTGGGAGAAAACTTCAATATTTGCTAGATAAGTTGGCTAACTTTCCTTTTGAATGATATAAAGGTTACCTTCCCTTGCATTACTAACTATAAACCACTAGATTTTAATGTCTTCTATGAGAATCTCGGGTTCCGTTTTTGGCAAGACTTGTCGTGGGTCAACCTGATCTTATTTCCAAGAGACTGTTAAAGTGAGGTCTGTCAAGTAGGAGCTACATAGCTTGTACTCGCCTAATTGTATTCGCCTACTTTAGCTTGCGGGGGTTGGGCTCTGCCTCTTTCGTCCCGCCTCTCAACTGTCAATCAACTGGTGTACAGATTCCTGAGCTTACTGGGCTCTTATCATATCTACACTTAAACCTGTGTATGGAGTCAGTCTCCACCACATCACTTCCTAATGCATAATGCATTCCATTTGTCTACTACTCTGACACTGAAAAACACTGACACGTGTGTGTCCTTGTGCATGCGTGCTGATGCTGTTTCTGCAAGCTCGGGTTAGAGGTTACTGGTGCTATTGATTGTGAGTTTGAGTGAGGGAGACAAATTGTTAACAATTTCTTTTGTGTCTGGGGAAGGTGGGTCTGTACTATAGTGCTGTTCTGAGTGACACTGTCTGTCTTCTGTGTGTCGGAGGCATTTACATTCCTGTGGAAACAGCTTTGCTTATTCTTTTGATGAGCGACTCTCTAAAATGTCCATGTATTTATGGTTGCTGGTAAGAGCATTTGTTTTAGCTTGCCAGTTGCTTCATCTCTTGATTCTATAGTTTGCTCCGGCTCTAGGTTTAGGGTTTCCTTCTCTTGTGCAACTAGTGAAAACCAATAATCACGAAAGTTCTTTCTTGGGAAGACTTTTCGCATCGACCTGGTCTGGCTAATGCTTCGGTAATTCATTACCATAGGAAGGCTGGTTAAGTGGGAGGTGAAGCAGTTTGCTGGGATGGTAGAGAGAGAGAGAGAGAGAGAGTATGTACTCACCTAGTTGTACTCGCCTAGTTGTGCTTGCAGGGGTTGAGCTCTGGCTCTTTGGTCTCGCCTCTCAACTGTCGATCAACTGGTGTACAGATTCCTGAGCCTACTGGGCTCTATCATATCGACATTTGAAACTGTATGGAGTCAGCCTCCACCACATCACTGCCTAATTCATTCCATCTGTTAACTACTGACACTGAAAAAGTTCTTTTCTAACATCCCTGTGGTTCATTTGGGTACTCGGTTTCCACCTGTGTCCCCCTTGTTTGTGTTCCACCTGTGTTAAACAGTTTACAGTTTATCCTTATCTACTCTGTCAATTCCTCAGAGAATTTAGCGTATGTGTGTATGTGAGAGTGAGAGTGGGAGAAAGAGAGGGGCAGGAGTTGTAGGTTTTTTGTTATACTGTACTTCTGACGCGTACGGTAAATAGAGTTGAACATTTTTGGCCTAGTTGCGCACCCTGAACAGTTTTGTTTTGTGTTTGGGCTCGTTTGTATTAGGGCTTGATGGAATTAGTGTTTAGTAGAAGTGTGCTTTTTTCCGTTATATCTGGCTGTCCCTCACATAGTTTTGTTTGGGTTGGCTGAACAGTTACTATACATACTGGGATTGCCTCGCTTGATTCAAATACTTATTGTATAAATTTAATAACTGTCATTTCCGTTCTGTGAGCCAGATGATTGATGGTGTTTGAATTTATACCACTACCTCTCCATACATTTATTATCCAATACTAATGCTCCAATATAAATACTTAACATTGATTTAAGATGTTAGAATTTATTAAGACATGCCACTGCCTCTTGTGGTCATAGGGTTTGCTAAAGGTGCCATAGTAAACTAGCAACATCAATTATATTAACATCACAAGTATTGCTGCATAGTTAAAAAAAAAAAAAAAGGCTTGTGTTAAATGGACTCCTCGGCAGCTTTTACCAGTTTGCAACATTGAAATACGGCAACAAAATCTAAAGATATTTTCCAAAATTGTCCAGTTTTGGAGTGGTTTTGGCAAGATATTTTACATTCATACCATACTGGGTTTGAAACCTTGAATATAACTATGACTGAGATTTAGAAGAATAGGATACCTGCAGAGATGCCCTGTAGAATCCATAGTGATTAATTTAGTTTTATCTATAGATCATATTCTTCTGTGACCGGTATTTTGAAAACTTATGATAGAGGTAGAGTAAGATCATGAGAACAGACTTTCCAATTTATTGTTGTCCAGTCACTGAAAATAAAGTAGTTAATTGAGAAAACGAAAATTGAAAGAAAATTCAAAGTCTTCCTAACTTGACTTCTGTTAACTAGTAACTGTTAACTGTTGACAGATTTTTTTTTATATTTTTTATATTATTTTTTCCCAGAAAAAGTGAGGCTGACCGTCTGCAGTGGACGCTGCGGCACCATATGAGTCTGTTGGTTGATAACATCCAATATTATTTACAGGTTAGTATAATTGCTTAATTCTTCCATGAGTCTGAAATACTATGCATAGAGAACATCAGAAGGAACTTCTGTTCTCGATAATTAATGCAAGAAATGTGAATGAAACATTAATTTGTAAGAGATGTCTCGATAATAATGAATTATTTCTGCAGAAACTGCTTACAAATGTGTTAATAATTTCAGGTTGATGTTCTGGAATCACAGCACTGGCAGCTCATAGCTGACATTGGCAAGATTCAGGATTATCAACATCTGGCCCGAGCCCACCATAACTTTCTGGTGTCGGTCTCGGCCCAGTGTTTCCTTAATAACTCAATGGTCAGTAACTCTCTACAACAGCTACTGAAACTAGTCCATAAGTTTTGTACCATTCTTGAATCTTTATTTAACAATGAATCTAAAGATAGGAATCTGGCACTTAGGTCTGTAGTACCCCTTGGTACCCAGCCAGTAATCCTAAGTAGTGCCGAACAAATAATGGAGCTGAATGAGGCATTTGAGCGGGCAGCAGCCCAGCTGTTCTTTGTCTTGTCTAACTTACGACTTCATCAAGGCTCACAATATACATCCCAGCTGATCATGAGAATAGATTATAATAAATACTATAGCAAAAATACAGCTGTGAGAAGGTTCACGTCTCCTCTTGATGCACTCTAATTCTGACGAGTGATAATGTTTTTTGCTATAACAAGTTGTAAAGAAAAACTGTGCTGAAGGTTACAGTTGTCACACAATATATTACATCGGCTAGTTTTGAAAAATGTGTATTTTTTACTTTGTTTTCAGCTCCAGCTTTTTGTAACTGACCTGGCAAAATTTGTGAGAATAATCCAGTAATATTTTTATTATGGCATTTCTACCACGTCATCCAGTCACTGACATTGAATGTACTTGTGAAAACATGATCTCTCCTTGGCACAGTTTTTATATAACTAGCCTTTTATTTTTTTTACATACTCAAGGGTCATGGATTTGTTTTGTTTTAATATCTGGTCTAAGAATGATGTCTTGGATACCATTATGTAACTTGGTATGAGGTACATATGGATAACCTAGTCTGTGCTTTTGCACTTTCTTTTTGTGACCTATAGAGGGTAGAAATAGCCTAAATTACTCTATCCTTTTGAGATGTATCTTATTGTCTCGGTAAACATACTTGAACTTAAACTTTGTGACTTGTGAATGTAGGGATCACATTTTTACTTGCTAACTAGCTACACATTAGGGATTTAATTTTAAATTTCTTTTGTGGAGATTTAGTTAATGCCATATTCTTGTTATGACTTGGCATTGAGGTCTTGTGGGTCTTTAAGATTTGAATTTGTTCTATTTTTGTTCAAATTATTGTCCCACTACCATATGTAACCTACACTAGATTAACACAGTTTACAGTTGGCTTCAGTCAGGTAGCGGCCTGATGCAGTGGTATACTGTATTTCCATGTCTGTATTGTGCATAGCTGCAACAGATTAAGCACTTGTATAGCCCTTTGCTTTTGGGGATAATATTGTTAATTGTCTTTAAATCCAATGTATGTTTGAAATGGTAAATGCTAACCTAGCAAATTATTGTTTAAAATTACCAGACATTATAAAGGCTGTTAGGAATTATACGGCATTCCATTTCCATTCCATTTAGTTTGTATTGAATATCAATTTTCTTTAAAACCAGTAATTGATAATATTCATTCCAATGAATTTGTTGTGCAAGTCATTCCAGCTTAGCTTCTTGTGTAGTACAGTACAGTAGTTTTCAAGCCCAGGGATTGTTTATATTTTCACGGGAATCAACTTATCATTTCTCTTGTGTTTTAGTGATTGACCCTCATACTTAAAAAGTAATAGAACTGTGCCACTTTTTCTGACAATACGTGTACGTCTGATAATACGTAGTACGACTGATAATGCAAAATGACTATACTTTAAGACGAGTGTTACTTGGGCAAGCTTACACCAGCATGAAGCAAAGAAAGAAGTACAAATGGGCAATACGTGGAAATAGAGGTGTACTGATGTATTGGTATCTGCCCCCCCCCCCCCCCCCCCCCCACCTTAAGCAAACTTGGGTGTTTAGATATTTATATCCACACCTCCTTGAGGTTACCTTGAGGTGCTTCCGGGGCTTAGCGTCCCCGCGGCCCGGTTGTCGACTAGGCCTCCTGGTTGCCGGATTGATCAACCAGGCTGTTGGACGCGGCTGCTCGCAGCCTGGTTGATCAGGTATCCTTTGGAGGTGCTTATCCAGTTCTCTCTTGAACACTGTGAGGGGTCGGCCAGTTATGCCCTCTAGGATATAAACGTCACAATAAGCGTACCTTGAAATGTATATTGAGTAGGGATGGTAAATGTAGCTGTTTGGCTGCAGGGGTACACGAATAGAGAAAAGAGGAAGTTATGTTTATCTTTTCACTTTGAGAACAATGCCAACTAGTCTCTTACATTAAATTGCCTACAAGTGTTTAAATTGGTATACATAGTACTGTATATCCGTGCATCTGTTCATGTGCAGATTATTCTGATTCTGCATGCTATGTTTATGAATTAAGTGAATAGAAAGGAAGGTAAATGGTACAAACATTCACTGTAAATTTGTGAAATAGAATACTGTTGGTATGTTTTAGATGTGTCATTTTATTTACCATCCCTGTTTAGAGAGTGTTGTATATGTGATATTATTTCTTCAGTATATTTATAATTAGTCCATTATTTATTTTATAAAATGCACTTCAAAATTTTGTGAACAAAGTCAATTGTATTTGTAGAAAAAAAATTATGCATAGAGCTTGTGATTTTAACATTGACACTGTATAAAAAATGTATTGGTTTTTATATATTAACTGAACAGGTGGCTTACAATTTGTATAATACTTGACTGTTCAGATTAGGAATAATGCAGGTAAGCACATTGTGCTGAATTTATTGCTGGAAAATTAAACATTCTTGTTGAAGCAAGTGCTTTACTGAATTGAGGGTTAAAAAAGGGGTAGACACCCATCCGACATATCTGAAAATGAAAAACCAACGGTGTTTCCTGTCCGTCCTGGACCATTGTCAAGTCGTGTAATTGCACCGCTTACTTCATCAAGCATGCTTAATTTTCCAGTAATAAATTTGGCACATAATGACATCCAGAATGTTTGGCATGTGCAATGATACATAAATATAATGTGGCAGATCAGATGACTAGAGCAGGTGTGTGGGTTGGGTGTCGACTCTTTAGCCATATTATTGTAACTCTTCTGCTAAAAAAGAGGAATTTTAAAGATCTGGGGAACCTAATCCTGTTTTTCCTTAATAGTTTAGTGTGTATATATCGGTGATTCTCGATCATTTTACCATGGTGTAACCCCTAAAATGTTTTTGTGTACTGTGTAACTTGCCCTATGTAAATGAAAGTACATACAATATGTACTTTATTCAAAGGCCAGTGGTAAACTTTAAGGGTGCCATTTTAATAGTGACAAATATAAAAGACATGTAATTAACTGAAGATTACACTTTGTGCAACAGTTTTGTGTTGCTCCTTTTTTGTTTTTCAATATTAAACAATCTGATGGTCTTAATATTGGACCCCAATTGAGCAAGACTTTGGTCTTGCATAGGGCTTAATGGTGTTTTGGGATGGTAATTTTGGCGAGTGATTTTGACCTTGGATAAATTTACACAAACCAGTGATAATATCCAGTCATTCCTATAGCATAGAATAATGCTTTCTTATCCCCGGAGGATAAATTTGAATGTGACGTTCTTGGTTGTACTGGGTACCACCAAAGATTGTTTTAATCATCTGAGACACATGATATGACTACAGCAGTGACAGTCTGGAATCTTTACCATTGTACTAAGAAAATCTGCATTGTACCCTTTAACCAGAGCTACCTTCTTTGACTATGTACTACCAATACAATCGACTAAAACTTTCATTTGAAAATGATACACACAATGTAAACACAATATTTATAACCATACTAACTCACCTCTGCACCGTATTTTCCCCTCTTCCCCTCGTTCTCCTTTCCTCTCTCACTTGCTCACTCTTATGTTTATCAGAACTAAACTGCTCCACTAACCACCATAATACTACCTCTATACCTAACAACTTGCTTCTACCTCCATGCCCATCATCTCTTATTTATTTTTATTTTTGCTAGATCCAACTATCATCATTTACTGACCACACTTTAAAACACTTTCCCCACACAACTTCTTTACATTCGAGGAATATGGGGATTGATGGAGACTAAGCGAGACAGTAGAAAAGCAACTGAGCTTTAAAGTAATATGATCATAAACAGCAAATGTAATTAGTAACATGAAGAAAATCCAAATGTAATTCCACTCATAACTGAAATTGTCAGATTGCATATATTATTTCATCTGGACTACCTGTAGTAGGGAAGGAATGGAAGGGAACCATGTCTCCTAATTGGAAATGATGGAGGCTCGAGAATGTTGACTCGCAATCGAGAGTTCCAGGTTCATTACCCATGCATGGAAGAGAGAATTGAGCATGTTTCCTTTCAACTGATGCCTCTTTTCACCTAACAGTAAAATAGGTTCTTAGGACCTAGGTAATTGTTTCAAGTTGTATGGGCAGGTAATGTGTGCAGTTGTCCTAGGGCACTATGGGGACCTCTAAGTTTTATTAAGTACAGACTTCCTGTCTCCCAAAATCAGGATATAGAAAAAATGTAAAGAATTGGAATGCAAACAGCAGCTTAATTAGAATCAAAATTTATTCATAACTTACACAATTTGTTGTAAATATTTGTGGACGTTTTAGACATTTAATATAATTTAGCTTACAACTTGATATAAATTGGCAATGTGTAATTAACTATTAGAGCAGTGAGAGAGGTGCTGCCAAAACATTGTTAGGATGATGGGAATTGAACAATTTGAAGAACTAATATAAATTACCCCATTTATACCAAGAAGGTAAAGAAATTTGTACACCCTCAACATTAGTGAATCATTCTTGTATATTTAATATATTTTTAGTGTTGAGCCGAGAACTGTCGATCCCTTAACAAGCATCCTAAATGACTAGGATTGAACAAAAAACTAGAAACCATGCGTGTTTGTGTAATTACCTAAATATACTTGCAGAATGAGAGCTATGCCCATGCAATATCCCATCTTCCCAGTACTTTGCCATATGATGCCTTGAAACTACTTATGGGTATGGCATCCACCACCACCTCCCTCACTCCAACTGTCTATCACTGTAAAAAAAAAAAAAAAAAATCAATATTCCTTTGGGACTTTTGTTAACTTTCTTGGAATCTAGGACTTTATTCTTGAAGTTGCAGGTTTCAACAATTCTTCTTTGTTAATTTTGTCAATTCCTGTTACTATTATGTGTGTGTGTGTGTTTTTTGTGTGCACTCGCATAATTGTGCTTGCAAGGGTGTAGCTCGAGCTCTTAGGTCCCGCTTCTCAGCTGTCAATCAACTGGTGTACAGGTTTCTTAGTCTATTTGGCTCTATCATATCCACATTTGAAACTGTGCAAGGAGTCTATCTCCACCACATGACTAACTAATGCATTCCATTTATTAACTACTCTTAACACTTGAAAGGTTCTTTCTAACGTCTCTTTGGCTGATTTGGGTACTCAGTTTCCACCTGAGTTTCCTTGTGCGAGTATCACCTGTGTAAAATAATGTCTTTATTTACCCCTGTCAATTATCCTGAAATTTTTTAATGTTGTAGTCATGTCTCCCCGAACTCTTCTGTCTTCCAGCAATGTGACCATTTACAGGGCTTGTTCTCCATGCTGGAGTCGCATACTCCAGGATTGGAGTATGTGGCTTCAGCAAGGTTCTACACATGGGGTATGCAAGATTCTAAATGACTCCTTACACAAATTTCTGAAGGCAGTTCTGATGTTAGCCAGCCTTGCATACACCGCTGTGTGTGTGTGTGTGTGTACTCACCTAATTGTACTCACCTAATTGTGCTTGCGGGGGTTGAGCTCTGGCTCTTTGGTCCCGCCTCTCAACCGTCAATCAACTGGTGTACAGATTCCTGAGCCTATTGGGCTCTATCATATCTACATTTGAAACTGTGAATGGAGTCAGCCTCCACCACATCACTTCCTAATGCATTCCATTTGCTAACTACTCTGACACTGAAAAAGTTCTTTCTAACGTCTCTGTGGCTCATTTGGGTACTCGGCTTCCACCTGTGTCCCCTTGTTCGCGTCCCTCTGTGTGTGTGTGTGTGTGTGTGTGTGTGTGTGTGTGTGTGTGTGTGTGTGTGTGTGTGTGTGTGTGTGTGTGTGTGTGTGTGTGTGTGTGTGTGTGTGTGTGTGTGTGTGTGTGTGTGTGTGTGTGTGTGTGTGTGTGTGTGTGTGTGTGTGTGTGTGTGTGTGTGTGTGTGTGTGTGTGTGTGTGTGTGTGTGTGTGTGTGTGTGTGTGTGTGTGTGTGTGTGTGTGTGTGTGTGTGTGTGTGTGTGTGTGTGTGTGTGTGTGTGTGTGTGTGTGTGTGTGTGTGTGTGTGTGTGTGTGTGTGTGTGTGTGTGTGTGTGTGTGTGTGTGTGTGTGTGTGTGTGTGTGTGTGTGTGTGTGTGTGTGTGTGTGTGTGTGTGTGTGTGTGTGTGTGTGTGTGTGTGTGTGTGTGTGTGTGTGTGTGTGTGTGTGTGTGTGTGTGTGTGTGTGTGTGTGTGTGTGTGTGTGTGTGTGTGTGTGTGTGTGTGTGTGTGTGTGTGTGTGTGTGTGTGTGTGTGTGTGTGTGTGTGTGTGTGTGTGTGTGTGTGTGTGTGTGTGTGTGTGTGTGTGTGCGTGTGTGCGTGTGTGCGCGCGTGCGTGCGTGCGCGCGTGCGTGCGTGCGTGCGTGCGTGCGTAGGGGGGGGGAGGGGTGTTCAGTAATCTTTGCTGTGGCTACCATTATTCACTGAAGTTGAGAAATGTTAAAAATATTTTTCCGAAAGGGCCATCATTTTCACCAACGTGAAGGAGTGTGACGTTGAAAAATTGTCGGATAATTCATCATTCTTCACACACACTTACGCAAGGAGCAATGAGATGGATTGTTGACGAGAGCAGTGCGAGAGCCATTGTATGAGGTGCTGGTGTGATGGACGGGCTAGGGTGGTGGACGGGCTGGGGTGATGGACGGGCTGTGCTGAAAGAACCTTATACGATAGTTTGCCAATATATAAGCAAGACCAGTCATATCTGTGGAATAGAAGCAGAGGCGCCGCTATTGCACTCCTTACTGAAATATGAAGCTACCGAAGCCCTTTGCATCAAACTCAACATTAATCCAACGACAGCAGCTGCATTAGATTCACATTCCACAGCGACTACAATGATTGGAAAAGCCATTGAAGAACGAGACTCACTAGTGAACATTCTGCATCTACATCCGCAACCAAGATAATGTTATTAAAACAAGACTAAAACCAGCGCACTAAAACAGAAGCGAAAAGAAATGGGTAAAAAGGTGGAACCCTCACCTCTATTTAAAACTTTGACCCAAATATCAGAGTAACAAGGTTATCGCGTATAACCGAACTCAATTACGTTCTCGCCATACCCCGTGCTACATGGACATTTCGTTCTGAGTAGCTGAATCTAAAATAACAACATTGGCCTTTTTTTTTTTTTTACACCTG